ATTAACATTTTAAAAAACTATATATATAAACATTCGATTTACTAGACTGATAAACAGTTTGTAGATTTACCAATGTAAAATTTAAAATGTGTTATATGATTCATTTGAAATACTGCAATCCTATTGGACAAAAAATAATTTCAAACACTAATACATGCTTATAATTAAAATGCTATGGGTTTTGTAGTGTGTATAGGCAAAACACTTCTTCTTTTCTTTTTTTTTTAAACAATGTAAAATTGTTCCAAAGATTTTTTAAATCCTCACATAAATAACAATAAATTAATTTTTTGACTGGACCATTCCTAACCAGTAAAGCTGGGCAAATTCATTGTTCAAATTTCTATAATATTTAAGATGAATATAAATTATAATACATGGCAAGTACTTATACATTATAGATTATAGGTCAATTGTCTTATTATCCTGAACCTAATAAAATTATGTAACGGATTTTAAACAGCTTTGAATTTGCTAATTGTCCATTATCATTTTAAGGGCTTAGGGATTTCAATATCAAAATACAAAAAATTAAGGTACCAACAGTATAGAATTTGATCAGGAATATAATTTTTTTTTCATAGAAAGTCATATATTGTATGTGCCCAAAAAAGTTGAGCCAGTCGAGAAATTCATTGTATTCACAATTTCTGGGAATTTCAATATTGAATTTTAAGTTGTCTGCATTTTTGTCAGTTTAAGAACGGCCTATTTTTGTCCTCAAGTTTATGCAAAAAAATTACTGTGTGAGTATGGTCACGTAATTCAAATAGAAAATTACTGAAGGGTTCAAAATCTAGATATTTATCTTTTTTATGATACATATCATAAATAGTTTAGTTATAATAATGTAACACTAGATGCGTATCTTACATGTTGAAATGAAACAAAAGAATATAGGTCATTAACTATATACTATATAACTATATACTGTGAAACTTGTGTACAAAGACCACCCAAGGGAAATACAAATCATTGTCTTTATATACAAGTAGTATTTTTTTTTTAGATTTAACTTTATTCCATTTTATCAAAGGGTTACTACTATTATTTAAAGTGACCTTTACTTACAGGTTTACATTTTGTACCTTTATTCACATGTGGTCTTTCAAGCAGGTTTCACTGTATTTATGGAAAAGAACAAAAATAGAGATATACATGTATATATGAATCTTAATCTTACATAAAAATAGAACAAACATCAGACTACTAAAATAATGTGGCAAAGATCCAACTAATTACTATTATATTGCTCATGAAATTTTTATTCTACACCATATTATATTAGACTCTGAACACAATCAGCATTTAGAACGTTAGTTGTTGTGTATGAACTTCAAGTAGTGTTTGAACCCTCACCTAAAACTAAATATTTTAAATGGACTTGTCCATCTTTCAATTTGGACAAAACCATTCTTCATTTTTAGGGAATATGCATGAAAAAAAATAAAGCAGTACAAATTTTTTAGTCAGTAGTTCAATTATTAACAAAAAAAAGATCTTGAACTTTGCAACAAATAAACCAGATATAAAATGAATTGTTAACAATGTAATCATTTATTATCACTGTTTCATTTTTATGCATGTTTACATTTCGTTACTTTAGTGCAATAACTGGTTAACTCCTATTAAATTTTGAAGGACTTTACCCATTACTGCACTAAGGTGACAATTTGTACTTGAGTGATAACATATATTTTCATAAATGAACAAATATTAAATTTACCAGTAACCTTATTCGTTAGGAATGTGCCCCCACAAACAAAGTTCAGGTGGGTAAACATAATTACATGTATTATTATAGTTATAAATATTGGTCACCTTGTACGCTGGTTTGTTGGTCGGTCCACTGCATGGTTTCTGGACGATACAATGAATCTAGAATTTGGAATAAGTTATTGTAATGAAACTTGGTACATTATAGCAAGCTAAATATATTAAGACCTAAGTTGTGATTGCTTTTCCACCCTCGCCCCCACCCAGGGTCAAGGTCATGGACATTGTTACTAGATATAGAAAAATAGTTCCTTGGACTCATTGAGCTTGGTAATTATTTCATTGACAACCTTATTATCCCCCGCCGAAAAGGCGGCGGGGGATATAGAAATAGTCTGAGCCGTCCGTCTGTCCTTCCGTCCGACATTTTTGTCCGGAGCATATCTCAAAAAGTATTAATTTTGAGGTATCAACTTGAAACTTCATAGGTGGATAGACCTCATTGAGGAGGAGTGCAGTGCACAAGAATGATAACTCTATTCTGCATAATTTTTTAGTTATTGCCCTTTGTTATTTTTCAAAATTAATTTTTGTCCAGAGCATAACTCAAAAAGCCTTTGAGATATCAACATGAAACTTCATAGGTGCATAGATCTCACTAAGGAGGTGTGCAGTGCACAAGAAGGATAACTCTACCTTTCATAATTTTTGAGTTATTGGCCTTTGTTATTTTTCATACTTAATTTTTCACCTGAGTGGAGCATAGCTCAAAAGTGTTTGAGATATCAACATGAAATGTCATAGGTGGAAAGATCTTATTGAGGAGGAATGCTGTGCGTAAGACTGATAACTCTTTGCTATATAATTTTGAGTTATTGCCCTTTGTTCTTTTTCATACTATTTTGTCCGGAGCTTATCTCAAAAAGTATTTGAGGTATCAACTTGAAACTTCATAGGTAGATGGGTAGATGGATCTCATTGAGGAGGAGTGCAGTGCACAAGAATGATAACTCTACCCTGCATAATTTTTTAGTTATTGCCCTTTGTTATTTTCAACCATCAGTATTCATTTAGGTTTCAAATCTGTAATCACTGCAGCCATTAGTTTTCATTACCAAAAGACCTCATAAAATTGAATTATTCTGCTCTACTACATATACATTCTTCCAATGAGCAAACCCATTCGGCGGGGGATGGCCATGTTGACATGGCTATTGTTTCAAGTTATTTTAAGACCCTGGTCAAGATTGCTTTTTGACCCCCTAGGGTCATGGTCACTGTAAGTTGTAACAAAAAAATAAACAAATCGTTTTCGTACAATAACTAAAGTTAGGAATGAGATATTGCAAAGGTCTTTTTAATATTGTAATAATGATTGATAGATAGGCAAAACATCATGAAATGTAGGTTGGTTCGGACCACTTATTTTTAAAAAAGTAAAGGTGGCTGGTTGGGGTATCAGAATTACTTTAGCGGTAGCTCTTGAGTAAGTAATTAGAATTAAATTGAGCAAGAGTGGCAAAAAAAGAAATTCTTATAATAGACAAAAATGAACAAAATTCCTTAACTATAACTGTAGCAAGGACACCCTGTGAGTGGACATGCCTCTACATATAGATACACCCTTGAAAAGTCTAAGCGTAAACTCACAGATGAACAGCGGAAGTTTTATGAAGAAAATGGCTTCTTAGTGATAAAGAATCTAGTTGACAAGTCAGACCTTGAAAAATACAGGTAAGATAACACCTTTGATGATCTCACACTGTAGATGAAACAAAATATAATTGTAAGTTTAATTTTCATATACAGAACAACATTTTTTAAGTGTTACACATAGATGGTGGCCCTAAATTTATCTCAATATACTTTGTTAGGCTGATATGAGATATGTTCCACTATTCATTATTACATAAGTTCATTTTTTCCAATAACAGCTCTTTTCAAACTGATTAGGTAGCATTCACTTATGATTTGTTATTCTATTCAGTCATTATTTGTTATTTGATGATTGCTTATATTGTCGTTTGAAAAATATATATTTTAACATGCTTCTATTGTAGTTTGAAAAATATATATTTTAACATGCTTATAATGTAGTTTGAAAAATATATATTTTAATATGGTCATTATGAAAGCTTGAAGATTATTTGAACTACAGTGGTCAGTCCACTTTTCTCTGGAGGCCTCTTCATTTCCGTAAACTCTTGAGACCTTTTCACTCTTAAGTCCTTTTTAGTCCCCTACCGGTTTAACCGGAGGGGACTTTAGGTTTACCCTCCGTCCGTCTGTCTGTCCGTCTGTCTGTCTGTCTGTCAGTCTGTCAGTCCGTCAGTCCGTCCGTCCACAAAACTGGATCCCGCGATAACGCAAAAAGTACTGAAAATATTTTTATGAAACTTGATATATGGATAGATGGCAGTATGGAGATTATGCACGTCTTTTTTTTTTCTTCCTATGTTGAAAATTCTGGTTGCTATGGCAACAAATAGTCTGAAAATATGGCAAATTTAACACATAAACTGGATCCAGTGATAACTCAAAAAGTACTGAAAATATTTTTATGAAACTTGAAATATGGGTAGATGGCAGTCTGGAGATTATGCACATCTTTTTCTTTTCTTCCTATGTTGAAAATTCTGGTTGCTATGGCAACAAATAGCCTGAATTTCAAGATTTCTGATTTAAATTTTTCAGCTTTTTCACTATATGTTCTTTATTTCTTAAGGTGTTTACTTCAAAATTTAAATATAAGTTTCTGGTCATCAACCACATCATATGTGACAAGGTTTATAACTCTAGCACAAAAAATATCAGTATTACCTCCCTTGAATTTAGATTTTTTAGGGGAAAAAATGTTGTCTTTTTTAAATAACTTCTTTATTTCCTAATGTATCTACTTCAAACTTCATATATATGTTTCTTATTATCACTCGACATTTTTGAGAAGGTTAAATACTCTAGCAAGACTATTTCCAGAATTATGTCCCCCTTGAACTTAGATTTTTTTCGAGAAACTGGTATTTTCACTCCAACTTCTTCATTCCTTATAGGATTTACTTTAAAATCCCACATCGTAATAATATGACAAGGTTGTATAAACATAATTTCCTTACTAAGCATGGAAACTTAACACATTACTGTGATATAGACAAACTTATTTATTATGTTTTGTGGTTGATATTTTCCAATACAGACTTCATCCTCAAATTCATTATAAATGGCAATACACAGGAGTGTATGACAATTAAAGAGTTTTTTGAGGGACCGGTAGGGGACTACTGTATTGCCCGCAATACTATCAAATGCTTGTTACTATTGAAACCTCTTCACTCTTATTCCATTTCAATTTTGAGTCCTCTTCACTCTTGTGTCCTCTTCATCAATGATTTCTCTACACTTTTGAGACCTCTTCACTCTGGAGACCTGGCACCTCGCTGTTGAGACCTCTTCTTTCACTCCGGTGACCATTGCTCTTTTAATTCCTCTTCACTCTTGAGACAGAGGCCTCTTCACTCTTGATTACTCTTCACTCTCGAGTCTTCTTTACTCTGGAATCCTCTTCCTCAAGAACTAAATAGTACTGGTGTCATGAAATTATATAAAAAACATGGTGGCAGACTATGTAGGGTTTGAACCCACAATCCCGTAGTTGAGCCACTGAGACACCTTAGCCAGTATACATAGACCATCGCTACCCTATATAATAAAAGTTGATACATGTATGTTAATGAAACAAATAGTGTAAACTTAGTGTAAACTTATATAACAATCCATTCCTTTTTACAAAAAATGTAGGCAGAGGTTTGAACAGATCTGTCGTCAGGAAGTTAAAGTACCTGGAATGACAATCATGAGGGATGTCTCCATTGTTAAATCTGAGTTTGTACCTGATCAGAAAGCTGTGACGAAGATTCAGACCTGGCATACAGACGATGTGCTCTGGGAGTACTGCTGTCATCCAAAGGTTTAGAATAAATGAGCTGCCCCATGACAAAACCAACATAATGGGTTTGCGACCAGCATGGATCCAGACAAGCCTGTGCATCCGCGCAGTCTGATCAGGATCCATGCTGTTTGCTGACAAACTGTATAACAAGTAGAGAAACTGATAGCAAACAGCATGGATCCTGATCAGACTGCGCGGGTGCGCAGGCTGGTCTGGATCCATTCTTGATCGCAACCCATTATGTTGGTTTTGTTGTGAAGCAGCTCAAATATGATTTACAATATTTCTTGTTTATATTTATAAGTATCTACTAGTATATTGTGAGAATATGAAGAAAAAAAATACTGGAATAATATGACAGAAAAACAACAAAAAGTGCTTATTTCTTCCTATTTGTTTTTAGCTCGACTTTTTTTTTTTTTGAAAGAAAAGTAGAGGTATTGCCATAGTCGCGGCGGCGTTGCCATTGTCGTTGCCGTCCACAAACTTGTACCTGGATCATAACTTTTTTATTTCTTGGTGTATTGTCTTCATACTTGGCCACAACAACTCTTGGGACAAGACCTTTCAGTAGACCACACTAACCTTGACCTTCATCCATAAATGACCTTGACCTTCAAGGTAAAAGTCCAAATTTTGCTTGTTCATGCTGTTATTGGCTGTATCTTTGTTATTTTTGAATGGATTGTCTTCAAACTTGAACATAATAATCTTCAAGGATATCCCTTGAAAATAAGCAGACAGACCTTGACTTTCACTCATAAATGACCTTGACTTTGATGGTCAAATTATTGAAATTTTCATTTTTTTTGGCTATTATTGGCTTTAACTTTGTTATTTTTGAATGAATTGTCTTCAAACTTGAACATAATAATGTTCAAGGATAACCCTTAAAAATAACCAGACAGACCTTGACCATCACTCATTTACATGACATTTACTTTGAAGTTCAAATTATTGAAATTTTCATTGATTTGGCTGTAACTTTGCTTTTATTGAAGGGATCAACTTCATATTATAACAGAACATACTTAAGGACAAGACCTTGTTGTTTATCAAACACTTGGGCTTTTTAATGACCTTGACCTTGAAGGTTAAATTACTGAATTTTCTCAGATTTGTGCATTAAATGACCATATATATTTATTGGTGTGTGTGTGTGTGTGTGTATATATACATATATGTTACATCATCATCAACAACAACAACAACACGTGTCACAACCACCTGTCACCACCACCATGTGACACCACCACGCGACTTCACCACGTGACTCCACCACGTGACACACACATAACTCCACCACATGACTCCAACACATGACTCCACTACGTGACTCCACCACGTGAGTCCACCACGTAAATCCACCACCTGACTCCACCACGTGACTCCACCACTTGACTCCACCACATGACTCCACCACGTGACACCACCACATGACGCCACCACATGACACCATGTGTCAACCTTATGACACCACCACATGTATCTATTTATAGAATTTTTCTGTTAGTGTTTCTATTTAAAATATATAGACAAAACTAATGTGACAAGACAGACGGATTAATTTTATAAAAAGGAAATGTTAAGATTTTGTTCAAACATTTCTTTGTTTGCTTTTAGAGAAAGTAAAAAGTCGAGCGTTGCCCCCGCCCGGCGGTGGCTATTGTTCTTGCTAAATATGGCAGTGTCTATTCCCTTTTCTTAATTGATATTTTTTATACCTTTTCTATACAGTCACAAGACTAAATAATAAATTGTCAAAAAATCGTAAGTAATTGATGCCGATTAATTTCCTATTCAAGGTTTCACTTTTGTACAATGTTATATTAATAAATAATTGATATTTATACAATTCAATTGTCACAGTATATAATTTTCATTAATAGGGCTGAAAATGTGTAAGTGTCCTGGAAGCTGTGTTTGTAAAGCTGCAAAAAAGCCTATGTTCTGAGGGTCCTGGGATGGGACCTGTGACACAATGTCTATATCTAAGCTGATTTTTATTTTTTAAATCTTATTGAACTATTGTAATCAACATCATCAGCTTCTTAAAATGGTGCATATAGATTATGTGTTCCCTGAAAATAACAAACTACATGGTATACATATACTTTGTATATACATGTCATTTGTATATATATGTATAAATTATTAATAAGTTATTTATTAAATTTTATTAAAGATGTATCATGCTCATCCTTGAGGAAAATAAACTCAGAAAATTATTGAAATCCATGAAATTCTAAGTGAATATATGTAACTTTAATACAAGCATTAATAAACTATGTATGGGAAGCTACGTTCCCTAATACAGGTCAAGTAAAGTTGATCTATTCTTTAAAAAACTGTGTTTTTTCTTTTAAATGACACTATATTCATATGGTGACCACCTTTAGTGCGTAGATTTGTAAACATTGCATATATACTTTCTGTGAATTGAAAACTTGTTTATATTATATTTACAAAGAAACTGTGTAGAAATAATCAATATTTCCTTATATCAAATTTGAGCATAGTATATCTTTAAATTTTGACCTGTTACATTGTTAAAAACAAGTATACAAATACGTGTTTATATGAATGTATACTAGATGTTTCAATTTTATCATAGTTTACAATGATAAATATATTTTGCAGATAGTAGATTATGTTGAATGTTTCCTGGGTGAAGATGTTCTTGCCATGCACACCATGTTAATCAACAAGCCCCCAGACCCGGGCAAACTTTCATCCCGGCACCCCATGCACCAAGACCTGTATTACTTCAGTTTCCGACCAGTAGACAGGATAGTGTGTGCATGGACAGCCATGGAGAAAATCAATCGAGATAATGGCTGCCTTGTTGTCCTGCCAGGAACTCACAAAGGGGAGCTACTCCAACATGATTACCCAGAATGGGAGGTAAGCATGGTCTAACTATTCAGAATTTATCAAATTTACAGCTGAAATAGCATTAAAAATGCAGTTTATAACCCCAAGGTTAAGTGGTTAGAGATAATTGTAAATGCTTTAACACGAACAATAGTTTTAACTCTGCATAGCAGCTTACTTAGTATGTAACTTACCGTTTTGATTTGATTTTAATTTTACCATTACAGTTTTTTGATGTATGACATCAGTTGGCATGTTGAAATCCTTAATGTCATGTATGCTGCTCTAATGATACATGTATCTATGAAATAAATGTATTAGTGAAGTTGATAAAATGCTTTTAAAGATGACTTTCATACCTCTTTCTTCAGAGTAATTAATAATTAACAATGATTACTTTTTGTCTATATATAAAGTAAGTACTTCAAAAGATTTATTCATGTCCGTGCATGTGCTTGAAATAATACACAGAGAGGCACCTAAGATCATCCTCCACTTGTAAAACTAGTCATCATAGCCTGTGAAGGAAAGATCTGAAAATTTGCACACATACGTTTGGTCTAGACCTGCATCAAATGGTCAAAAAAATATTTCCAGTCCCATCATGTCAGAAACCTAAATGGAGTGAGTCCCTTTAAAAAGCAAAATCCAGATTTTGTTTTGACAAAAAGTTGGTCTGATTTCATAAAATATCAAATTTTGTTCAGTAATTGTAATATGATAACTAGGGCGGTGTAAACAAGATGTACCATGGAGTACGGGACTACAATCCGAACATGCCAAGAGTTCATCTTGAGATGGAGGCAGGGGATACAGTGTTCTTTCATCCTCTTTTGATACATGGTTCTGGTGCTAACAGGACAAAAGGATTCAGAAAGGTAGGTCTAATACTTATGCTGTGTTGATTTGCATAAAAAATCAGTAAAATGTAATACAGTGAAACCTCTGTACTGCGACCCCTCTATAGAGCAGTACCCTATTAACGACATCAGAACTGAATCTTCGTGGACGAAGATTTCGTTAATGAATTTGACCTCTCAAGAACAACATCGGGCAGCAACAAATAAAATCTTTGCCTCCAAATTGGTGTTTCTTTGCAGAGGTTGTAATGAACAATTTTCTGTTGTATGTTATCAGTAAAATTTAACACTATACTGACGAAATGATAATGCTGAAATAATTTTTTAACCTAGGTCAGTGGGTTCAAATGTCACCAGTGCTAAAAACAAGATTTTTACATTTTTGCTTATAGAACCTTTAGTATTGACAAATGTCTTTAATAATTAATAGGAAAATACTTTTTGTTTTACATGATTGTATAAAAGGCATGGCTGAGTGGTTAATGGGTCAGATAAGTAATCTAATGATCGCTAGCCACATGGGTTCAAATCCCCTCAGGGGCAAATCGTTTCCTTGAGCTAGAAACTTTACATTCATTACTTAGCACTGGTTGGTTCCAGGAACGGATTTAAAAGCGTGTCTATTAGCTTATAGCTTCCTCCACAATCAAACTAAGATAAAATACATTAAGTATATATAAAAGGTCAAGACTCTGTCAAATCATAGAATTGTGATTACAATTTTTCTGTTTCAATGCCTTGAAAGCTTGTGAAGAGAAATTATGGAAATTAGGAGAATAATTTAATCTTTTTGCTATCTTTATTTCAGGCAATATCTTGTCATTATTGTACAGGACATTGCAATTTTGTAAATCTGAAAGGAACTCTTCAGCAGACAATTGAAGACGAGGTGCTAGAATTGGCGGAGAAAAGAACTGGAATTCCAAAAGATCAAATCAGATATGAGGTACATCTTTTATCATTATGTGTCCTAGAGATTTGTCCCCTGTCTTTGATACCTATTTTTTAAGTAATAAGTGTGTCATAGTTAACAGAAAAGATAACTATTTAAACGGCATCCTAATAACCATGGAGAACGTTTAAACTACCGTACTAATAAAATTCTTATATTTTCAACATTAACTTTGTTTGTTTATGACAAAATATGACATTGTGGTCATATTTTATAGTATTCGAATTGATTAAAATACATATCAGTTTATGGATTAACTTTTTTCGGTCGGGCCGTACCGTTCGCGATCAGATTATATGTAATTGTTAAAAATACATTAATGAGTACAATTAAAATACAAACAAAATGTCATATCTGGTTATAGATATTAAGGTAAGGTTTAGAATCAATTTAAAGCTTTCTGGGCTCTGTCTTCTACCAATCTCGGTTACTAACTTAACAATACTAACCTTGGTTACTGGTTATAAAATTTTCTAACAGGTTTTTAGCTAAAAACCAATCATACACGTTTAAACAAAGATTAATGTGACGCACCTATTTAGTAATATGTCCTGATGGAAGGAATTACAAGAAAATAGTTCTATTTTCAAGGGAGTTAAAAGTTGAAGGTCTGGCTTATTTTAAGACAATATTCCTATATGGATGAAAGTAGTGAATACAGTTTCTATTATACGCCCGTTTGAAAAACGGGACGTATTATGGGAACGGCCCGGGCGGGCCGTCTGGCGGGCGGGCGTTCGGCGTCCAATTTTGTCCGGAGCATATCTCCTACATGTATGGAGGGATTTTAATGAAACTTCATAGAAATGTTCACCACTATGAGGAGCAGTGTCGCGCACATGAACCAGGTCTCTAGGTCAAAGGTCAAGGTCACACTTAGAGCTCATTGAAAAATGCTTGTCCGGAGCAAAACTTCCACATGTATAGAGGGATTTCAATATTACTTGGCACAAATGTTCACCATTGTGAGGCGGAGTGTCGCGCGCAAGATTCAGGTCCTTGCGGCCAAGGTCAAGGTCACACATAGAGGTCAAAGTTCAGATAAAAATATGAAGATGTGTATATGGACCATTTAGTCATCATTTATTGAGGGATTGTAACACAAATGGTCATTATCAAGACTATGGCTGTGATACATATAATTTAGGTCAATATATACAAGGTCAAGGTCACTAAAGATGATGAAATATCCAGATTTTGTCCGGAGCATATCTCCTACATGTATGGAGGGATTTTAATGAAACTTCATAGAAATGTTCACCACTATGAGGAGCAGTGTCGCGCACATGAACCAGGTCTCTAGGTCAAAGGTCAAGGTCACACTTAGAGCTCATTGAAAAATGCTTGTCCGGAGTAAAACTTCCACATGTATAGAGGGATTTCAATATTACTTGACATAAATGTTCACCATTGTGAGGCGGAGTGTCGCGCGCAAGATTCAGGTCCTTTCGGTCAAGGTCAAGGTCACACATAGAGGTCAAAGTTCAGATAAAAATATGGTGATGTGTATATGGACCATTTAGTCATCATTTATTGAGGGATTGTAACACAAATGATCATTATCAAGACTATGGTTGTGATACATATAATTTAGGTCAATATATACAAGGTCAAGGTCACTAAAGATGATGAAATAACCAGATTTTGTCCGGAGCATATCTCCTACACGCATGGAGGGATTTTAATGAAATTTCATAGAAATGTTCACCATTATGAGAAGCCATGTCACGCACATGAACTAGGTCTCTAGGTCAAAGGTCAAGGTCACACTTAGAGCTCATTGAAAAATGCTTGTCCGGAACAAAACTTCCACATGCATAGAGGGATTTCAATATAACTTGGCACAAATGTACACCATTGTGAGGCGGAGTGTCGCGCACAAAATTCAGGTCCCTGCAGCCAAGGTCAAGGCCACACATAGAGGTCAAAGTTTAGATAAAAATATGAAGATGTGTATAGGGACAATTTAATCATCATTTATTGAGGGATTGTAACACAAATGGTCATTATCATGACTACGGCTATGACACATGTACTTTAGGTCAATATATGCAAGGTCAAGGTCACTAAAGATGGTGAAATATCCAGATTTTGTCTGGAGCATATCTCCTACATGTATGGAAGAATTTTTATAATACTTTATGGAAATGTTCACCACCATGATATGTATTGCTCCATGCATGATCCAGGTCAAAGGTCAAGGTCACACTTAGAGCTCATTGAAAAACGCTTGTCCGGAGCAAAACTTCTACATTCATAGGGGGATTTCAATATAACTTGGCACAAATGTTCACCATTGTGAGGCTGAGTGTTGCACGCAAAATTCAGATCCCTGCGACCAAAGTCAAGGTTACACATAGAGGTCAAAGTTCAGATAAAAATTTGAAGATGTGTATAGGGACCATTTAGTCATCATTTATTGATGGATTGTAGCACAAATGGTAACTATCATGACTACAGGTGTGACACATTTAATTTAGGTTAATATTTGCAAGGTCAAGGTCACTGGAGATGATTAAATATCCAGATGTTGTCCGGAGCATATTTTCTACATGCATGGAGGAATTTTAATGTTACTTTATAGAATTGTTCACCACCATGAGATGAGTGCCCTGCACATGAACCAAGTCTCTAGGTCAAAGGTGAAGGTCACAGTTAGAGCTCATAGCAAAACGCTTGTCTGGAGCAAAACTTCTACATGCATAGAGAGATTTCAATATAATTTGGCACAAATGTTCATCATTGTGAGGCTGAGTGCCGTGCATTATTCAGGTCCCTGCGACCAAGGTCAAGGTCACACATCCTGTGCATATCTTCCCTACTGATTTGTTTTAAGGTTCATTTAACAACACAGTGCCAAGGATAAAAACTTGCTTGCTAGATAACACTTATCCATAATGCCCCCATCTCAATCTAAAGCTTTCGTAAACGGGCGTATTTTGTGACTATGGCACCCTTGTTTTAACCTATGTTAGGCCACTTTTTTTTTTATATTTTGGTTTACTGATTTTTTCCAAAAAAAGGTAGGGTCGGAGGAGTGAAAAAAAAAAAAAAAAAAAGGAAAAGAAAAAAGTTTTCATATCTTCATGTCTGGAAGGTGAGAGACTTTGTAAGTATCCCTTCTCTTATGATTAGTCCATCCCGATTCTGATAAATGTGATGCATGTAGTACTTACTAGAGAAATTAAATGACCAACTGTCTAAATTCCACAGTGCTTATAAATACACAAAAAAATCGTTCACATGTGTGAAAACAAAATAGCATCCACAAATTGATAAAATATCATGTTGCTATTATTTAATCTACACACGAGATGACCTCGCCGACCCTTCAAAAGGGTCGGTAAATCTTTGATGTTCACACACATGTAGTCCCAGTTGTTTAATCCGAATCATCAAAGGTGCCGAAACTCAACTGACTTGCACTCATTTATTTATATAACAGAAGTTTAAAAACCTGTCAAGAAAAGATTACACATGTTAAATTATTGCCCAAGTTGAAAAATATTTCTATCGGAAAATTAGCGGATCAATTCCTGACATGTATATTATTAATCGTAAGTGCATTATTAAAATTTTTTCTTTGACAAGTCTAATAAGTAATAAGTTGGACTTCTATAAATCTCCCATAGAACATTTAGATCTAAATTTAATTAGCAACATATTTCGAGTACTTTTTTTTTCGGGCAGATTTTTTTTTTCATTTTCAAAAAAAAAGGATGCGGCGGGTCAGTAAACCGAAATATCAAAAAATAATGGCCTTATGCTAAATATAATAAATGGACTTGTCCAGATTGAAAGATGGACAAGTCCATTTATCTTTTTTGGGGGGAAATTTAAAAAGGAAAACCTATTGACTGAAGATTTTATTCTGCACTGGACACGTGGATAAATTCAGTAGCTGCCATTTCTAAACAAGAAAGTTGAAATTTGTAGATATTTTTTTGATGGAAGAGATGGTATAGTGGTTAAGGTGTCTGCCACTCAGACTAGGAATTGTCGGTTCAAGCCTTACCCAAGGCACAACCATGCTAAGAATTTACATTGTAAGGAAAAGGTGGTGGCATAGTGGTTAAAGGAATCTACCTCTCAAGCCTGGAGTCATGGGTTCAGGTCCTACCTATGACACAACCATGATTCCTCATATGACATCAATACTTGCTAGTTCCAGGAAATAGACTAAAGTATTTCAAGATTTTTTTACACAAATAAACAAAAATAAGAATGTTTTTATATTATTCAAATACCAAGAAATATAAGTTTAATTTATGTCATGTATTTTCAGGACATCTGGAAGTTCCGATCCAGAGTTGTGAAAGGCAAAGCATCATTCCACGACGACTAAACAAGTCTGCAACTGTAACCTTGACATTTGAGTTGGACATTGGATACCAATTTTTGAAATAGACTGTGATTATTTTGATTTCCAATCAACAGGATTGATAACATATAAAAGATGACATTGTGTAAACCATTCTGTGATTTTTTTATACCTCAGTATTATAGCTAGTCTTGGTGTTAATGGAGAAAATATGTTTAATACTGTCATTAGAAAGTCAGAAATTAAGTAAACTTTTTAACATTTTAATCAAGTAATACTAGTACTGTAAATTCATTTGATTTTGCGGTCACAAAATTTTGTGGTTTTGTAAAAAAATTTTTAGTGGGTTCTTAAATCTGTGAATTGTCTGTTTTAGAAAAAAATGCAAATAATGTAATAAGAATAATCGTACAGTAGACAAAAATATTTTGTTGTATATTAAATTTGTGGATTGACCTATAGGCAAAAATTAGATGAATAACTGCATGATGCATAATCATGATTTACAATTAGTCAGAAAAAAAGGAAATACTATGTGTTCACCTGTATCAGTGTGTATTATTAATGTTAATTTGTTGTGTATATGATCAATCAGACAATTATCAAATAAAGGTATACAGTCTCAAAGAAAACAATCATTTATTAGTTCAAAATTTACAGTATTTATTTTATCTTTAGATTTTATCGTAGTTTACTGAAAGATGGGGGTTCTACTCTGGCCTTGTGTTCACGATCAGGATCAAATTTAAAAACTCAAATATTCTCCATTGTTTATCCTCAAAGATTAATATTTAATATTAACTTATAAATTGGACTTAAAAAAGCATGTTTATGAAATTTTTAGAATAAATTAATTGTTACTTTTGCAAAATACAGGCAATTTACAGTTGATCAATATATTGATCTCGATCTTTATTTTGATCCGAATAGTTTTGTATTTGTTTGTATTTGTTGATTTTATCCCAAAAAAGGTTTGTTAGATCAATCAATTTTAGAGTTATAAAACAATGAAAGTAAAGTCAAATGATCCTGATCCTGGTCATTTCTTAGTGAACACGGGGCCTGGTGCTAGCTTGTATGCATGAAAAAATGCACAAAGAGATATTTAACATCTTTCAATAAATTTTCATTCATACATAAACATTGTATTACCAGGTCTTTAATTTGTTAAAGTTTGTTTATTATTCTATTTGTTTTATAATGCTATATTTTTTTAAACCAGACTAAATAGTTATTGCTTTTATTGGTGGTTTTATTCATTATAGAAATGTAAAAACAGATACGTCTCATTTCAAACCTGAACGAGAAATTTTATATTACTGTTAGTGTTCTTGTTGATTATAAAGATTATAAAAAATTATTCATAGAATTTTGTTTGTTATTATGCTTTCTCTCTACAGGGAGCCCGGAGGTATACATTTATACAGGCTGTTTTGTCTGTCCTTCCATCACAAAATGTTGTCCATACTCCCATTATTTTTCTCAGCTACTCTGGTATGATTATATCCTAACTTCACTGGAAGCTTGGATGTTAGGAGGCTCTGTGTTAGCAGCATGTTCCAGTTCAGTGATATTCAAAAAAAGTACTGCCCATTAAATTTTGTTTCTAAGCTGTCATGTCTGGACTTTTTCTCAGCATCTACTGTATTTAAGTGACATTTAGTGGAAGCTTCACAACCAACAGTTACTGTTGAACAGAAGCGGTGCATAGTGGCGATATGTTCTGGTCCACTTCATTCAATACTTTTCCTTACCAGTGGCATAACTTGGTTGTAATTTATGTGAAAGTCTGACTTCAAGAGCGATTTTTGGAGCTATATGCCCCCAATATAATTTCCCTTTTCTCTGAATTGTAAGGTGTGGTTTGTACAAAAAATCTGTTCAGTTGCAATTGACCGGCAGACATTTTTTTTTACAATTTCTTAGAAAAAGCCGGGCCTACATGGCCTATAGGAAGCTAAACTTCTGAATTCTTATCCATTTAAACTTATACATTATGCTTAAACCAGAAAAACAACAGAAGAAAACACAATGATAAATCTTTTGATATATTATAATAATTATCAACTGATATAAAGAATATCATAAAGAAATCAATTAACATCAAAATACTAAAGAAAACCACTAACAGTTAAATACAATGTACACGTAAAAGCATGTAGAAAATTGTACAATATAAATAAATACATACAGGAACTATAAACTAACAACATTTAACACCACATTAATTATGGTTTTGAAATTTATAAATGACAATTTTAAAGAAACTTTAGATACCCTTTCTTATCTCAAATCTTCCTTCTCTGAAATGAATGTCAGACTTTATGAACACAGGTCATGTACTTGTCATAATCAATCTCCGACTGTAGGTCAATGCATCATTATTGGTGGGACATGCTTTTTGCAGTCAAGGCCACACTGACCTTGACCTTTGATTAACTAAACTCAAAATCGTATGAGGTCATCTACACTAGTAATAAACAAACTCCGCAACAGATTTAACAATTCTAAGCCAAAGTGTTGTCCTGTTATATGTTTGACAAGGTATTTTGTGGCAAAGGTCAAAGCGACCTTGACCTTTGAACAAATACCCCAAAATCAATAGAAGAAATCTTTATGTTGATAGAAAGATGACATGTAAAGTAGTACTGTACAAATGGATATATTTGCGTCACAAAAGTTTTGCAAATGCCCAAAGGTAGATTTTTTGCGTGCACAAATGTTTGAAAATAAAAGGGACATAACTTTGTCCCCCCAAAAAGTAATCTTAGGGCTGAAGATTGAATTACAAATACAAAAACACAAAATGGTAGGCCAAGGTCAAACAATTGAATATTCTATAAAAACAACAGTAACTGATGACAACAATCATTTTGGATAAAACATTGAATGCATAAATGGTCACACTTTTTTCATAGCATCAAAATGGACATTTAAGAGTTTGTGAATTTCTTAAGAAAATCTTGCATGAACAATATATATACTTATTGCATGTAGTTTAGTCAGATGCTGGTTTGATTAAAGAACAAACTTTACAAACAACATTGAGATAATCAATAATAAAAAAGCAAATTATGTAATCTATAACAGAGACCTTTGTTAATGAAATTTGTATGTTTTGGTAATGAAATTTGTATGTTTTATCATATTTGTATGTTTTATCATATTTGTATGTTTTATCATAGTATAAAAAGACCATTGCCATTGTCTAAAGTTTAATTTATTGAGCCTTTATTTTACATATTTAGAGGTATCCTGCATTTTTATGACAAATATACATATCTTATTTAAATATTTTAGCAGTGAAAATATCTGCAATGAGATATTGAAATTTATCATGTTATTCCATTGATTTCTGCTGATAAAGTGCATGCCTGATAACTTTAGCTATATCAGTCATCCTGTAGCTTTATCAGACACCTCATCAATACAAACTAAAATAAAGAGAATGGAATATTCTTACCTCTAACTAGTTTGAAAATATGAAGCTGATAAACTTTTAATCAAATTGGCACTTAAACATTAAGCTGATAGATAAACTTTAAATCAAATTGGCACTTAAACATTTAAGTCTCTCTTACATTTGACTAAAAACATTCAGGACTATTTCTTATTGATATGACCCTAAGCGTATTACTGTTCGCGGAAGTTCTTGACAGGTTTTTGTTTCATTTGAAGTTAAAATAAAAGAAGGAACTCATACATGTATTTAATTGAAAACATGATAAATAGAATACCAAGCAAGTGTCTGATATCATAGCCTTGCCTGTTAAATTTTGTAATATCAAACACTAGCATACAGGTATTCTCTATATACAGACATGTTGAACAGCAAGAGGGATAGCCTGAATGAACTGCATTATATAATACAAACATGTATCAAATAATAAATAAAGGGAGGAAATAAAAAGCGCTTTTCCTTCAATAAAATGCCATATCTCCTTTTTGTCCATAAAATAATACTGTCAGGCTTTTTGATCATAAACAAGAGTGCAAGGATGCCCCTATATAGCTCACCTGTTACACCTTGCCAGATACATGTATGGTTTATCCTGAATCATATTTTGCTTCTGTTGCCTTTTAGCAATTAATTAAGTTTTTAGAAAAATTTAGATTTTCTATATATTAAGGGAGGTCAAAATAATACTTTGTTTACATTTATTACTTAAACAGCAAAAAGCATTTATATCTGGCACTTCTTTCATGTAACATGCTTTAAAACCATCATTTTAAAATTATAAATTTCATATTTGCCCTTTATAAAGAAAGAAAAAATTATTTGTTTCAGAGGCATAATGTGCCTTTAACTATCAATCCTTAAAGCTCAGGTGAGCTTAAAATCAACAAAATTTAGCATTTACAATAAAAGGATGGTGATGATATGATAACAAATACTTGAGATGATAATTAAATTAAAATATGCAATAATATGTTCAAAAAGTGTACACACACACACACACACACACACACACACACACACCACAAACTTCAAAATAAATATTAAAGGGTCTAAAGTTATATTTAATGTTCATTTAACGTACGGAAACCAAATGAAATATTCATTGAACGCACATCAAAAGTATAAGAAAACCATACAAAATATTCCCTAACAAAATATTTCAGTCATTTTTAGTTCATTTAACAATGATTATGTGCATGTGCCATTTGCTTTCTCAGAAATTTACAAACATCAGTCTTCCATTTCAGGTACATGGCAAGATTTTTTTTTTTTAGATTAAGATACAAACACTCTATCAATTACATGTACATATAGTCCAATTTAAGGGATGCCACGGTCAAGAAAATGTTTACCGTTTAAACGGCAACTTAATATCCGTGTTTAAACAAGCAATTACCAAAATAATTCTTATATTTCAATTGGTTTTTTATTATAAGACAACACATTTTGTCCGTATTTTGTTATACTCGACAACTATGACAAAACATATCTGTTTATGAAGAAACTGTTGTCCTTTAGGATCGTTCTGTACAGTAAATGGTACAATAGCAAGCAATTGGAAAAAATACATTTGAAATTCAACAGAATGTTATATCTTGTCATAAAGAAACAAAAGTAATGGTAAAACCCAATCTAAAGTTGCTTCAGCTATTGGTCATATATATACTAACCTTGGTTTCTGGTTATTCAACTTTCTAACTGGTTTTTAATTTTGGTTAAAAACTGACCCAACCCATTTAAATGGATAAACATGACACCCCTAAGGCCATTATAAAGCTTTATACCATATAAGTTATTCTGTAAATGACTCCACATGGAGCTGTGGACTAGTATAATACTGGTATCTCCTCCAAACTATGAGATCTTTATATCAATCACTACAAGTTACAAGTATGATAATTTGTATTTGTGAACCAATAACCTTCTGGAACCACAAATGATCAGCTTTTGCCATCAGTATAGAGCAGGCCAGCCTGTACTTCCATGCAGTCTAAACCAGTCTCTAATGTGTTAGAAGCCCAATTTTTCTTATTTTGATACTGACCTCCCTTAAACTTAAATGGACTGTTCCAAACTCGAATCTTGGCAAAAGTCACTAAAGCAAGAGTCAAATGCTACCAGTATGTGGCAATATTAAAAAGTAACTAAGTACCTAATCTAAGTACCATTGCACTTTTTTCTGGTCCTTTTCTAAAACTAGCAGAACTGAAGATTGCATACTGCATAAAAAGCCATTTCTAAGAGATGTAGGTGATGATAGAATTTTTATTGTCTCTAATGAATAAACACGGTCAGACAGACTGTGTCTGCAATTTTCATTTATTATGTTTACATAGCTGTCCAGGAATTCTCCATTGAATATTTTTAGAATGTTTCAAGTTATTAGATCACAGATTTCTGGACTATCAGAGAGGGGGTCATGCAAGATATTAAAATGTTTTCATTACTTAACTGACACTTCTATAAATTGGACAATACAAAAACAGAAAACTGGAACAAAAACAAATATTAAGCTTAAATACATAACATTCAGTCTTCAGTTAACCCTTAACCTGCTGGACCAAAAAGTAATACGCCTTTGCCACCAGTATAGAGCCAGGTTAAAGGGTTAGCTACCATTTTTCATCCTGACATCACCAAAACTGGCAGACCAACTGCATATTTTTATCTTGATATCTCCAACAATTGATGGCTGACCAACTGCATATTTTTATCTTGATATCTCCAACAATTGATCGGTGACCAAAGGCATATTTTTTATCTTGATATCTCCAGTCCAAAATTTATGAGCAATCTGAACAGGCTCTATATTGTTAGCTAACCATTTTTCAACCCGACATCACCAAAACTGATAATGGACAGTTCCAAATATTGGACGCTGGATGAGTCCATTTAAGAAATTTGACAGGTTAAGGGTTAAAACAAAATAAGCACAGCATACAAATGATTATCACATGTTCTTAAACTAAAATCTTACACTAAAATCAGTGATTTTTTTTCTTTTCATTATTTTGCAACAAACCATACATGTTTTTACATGATAAAAGATACAAGAAAACTTAAACAACTTTTTCAAACACTCACTTTTTTCAGATGATGATACATACTTTATTAGTGATGTTTTTCATACAAAACCACATTTGAGCATACTAGGAAAAATCTTTAGGATTTTTTGGGGAAATAATTGGGATAAAATTGGGAAATTCAAACAATACTGTCTATTAGGAAAAGGCTAATTTCAACCCTAATTTTATGCAAAAAGAAAGTTAAAAAATTCACTGACTAGAATGGCACGGAATAGCAAATAAATATGAGTAATATTATTCTATAAGAATGAAGACATGATATGAATGAAAGGGTGAGGTCAGCTTAAAACTTTGGAAAAATCAAGTCAATTACACAAGAAACGCACTTTGTACATTGTTCTACACTAAATCTCATTGGCCGTTGTTAAATCACAGATGACAGTTTTTTCACAAGAACAGATGACAAGTTTTTCTGTATGACATTTGACAAATTTTTCACTATAATGATAACACTATCTTGTTCTAGCACCTCTGTTTTTCACTGATCTTTGCATAACTTTTATAATCCTATACGGGTCAGTGTTCGCATTGGATGCCTGAAATAAAACAATAAACAGTACATTTATAATACAACCTTCGAAAAAGCAACAACCTTTGCAAAACAAATATTTTGTTTATTGCTCTAGAGAGGTGAAATTTCATGTGAATTGTCACTTCAGGAAGACATTATACTGTTCTTATTGAAAGGTTATTGGTGTACAATCAGCCACCAGCAAAGGCCGCCTTGAACATAATTTCAAAACTGATCAATGGCAGAATATGTTCAGCAACTACCTTTAAAATATGCATTATATTCTACGCTAGCCTACCTAGAAAGTATTTTTAAAATATAAAATAATGTCTTTATTCTATATCCAAGCAACAATATTAACTATTATTTCAATTACATTTTTAAAATAATAGGGTAAGCCAAAAAAAATACAGGATTCGAACCCACAGCTTCCAAAATTTATGTATTTCTGAAAATTTATAGACTGTGCTTTCCAGCTGTTAGCACATTTGTTTTTCCGCCAATTTATGACTGAAAAGTACTTAACATGGACAAAAATAAAACAGAAAACCTCTACCACAGTCATTTAATTTCATCTCTATAATGTTGCGTGAATACAATTAAAAAATGTAAATTCCTATTTATTTTTTTTATCTATTTAACAAAGCCAATGAACAAAATATATGATATTGGCACTTAAAATGGAAAATTTGAGCCGCGTCATGACAAAAACCAACATAGTGGGTTTGCGACAAGCATGGATCCAGACCAGCCTGCGCATACGCACAGTCTGATCAGGATCCATGCTGTTCGCTATCAGTTTCTCTAATTGTAATAGGGTTGGTAAGCGAACAGCATGGATCCTGATCAGACTGCGCAGGCTGGTCTGGATCCATGCTGGTCGCAAACCCATTATGTTGGTTTTGTCATGACACGGCTCTAATGAATCCAATCAAATCTAATCTTATCCAATCAGATCTAATTAACTCCGAGGATCATACAAGATACAAACATGTGATCAAAACAAGACTAATATTTCCTACCACTCATAATTTGTAGTCCAAGTGTATACCTTGTATTATGTAACTTTAAAAATTGTCACTTACCGCAAATAATTCTAAGGAGCTGACATCAGCACGTATATCGGCTACTGGCCCTCGTGTAAGTATACGTACATAAGCAGGAAGTGAATTACTACCAGTGACACCAGTCTACAAAATCATCAAAAAATCATCATTTTAATATATACAGTAAACACCACTTGCAACAATAATGCTTATAACTATATTCCTCTAATAACGATACTGATGCCACAGTCCTGTTTCATATTCGTTACCTCATGGATACAACAATATCCAGATACAACGATATATGGTTAACTTGACTGTTCCCTGAATAACGTTATAAACAGATTTTGCTGTATAGCATAATTTTACTACACAAACTTGTAGTACAGACTTTATAAAGTAAACCAGTCATTAAATGCCAAAGAGCAGTCTGTGACTGGGTAGTTAAGGTTGCTAACTTCAAATCACTTGCCCCTGACTGTTGTATGTGCAAATAACACCAAAATATACTTTGGATTCTTTCATGTGAGGTCAGTGGTTTTACATGGAGGTCAGTGGTTTTACACAAGTGCAAGTTGCGTAAAGAAAAAGTTATGTATTGTGCAGCACTTGAGGTCTTTCTCCACCAGTGAAGCTAGAGTAGCCATATATGATTTTTACACTGTCGGTCCAAGTTTAAACCCTACCAAATAAATAATTTCAAATGCTTCAATTTCAACGAATGTTGTTGAGAGTAAAAACATATCAAATTGTTTAAAGACAATTTATTGCAATATTCCTGATAATTCACATTAAGGTAGAACGCAACACTTTGCGAACTTTCGAGTAGCATCTTGAAAATTTGCATGCAAACAGTTGACCATATTTCTGATTAGGTTCGGTTGATTTTATTTCAATAGTTTCAGCCAATTTTTGTACACACGGCATCAAAGTTGACCATCAAAGCCCGTTTTTGAACACGACGTCGTTACGTATCCTTGGCAACTGTTACGGGTATTTCAACGTAATTGGCGGATAAAATATCTTAAATTTTACAGCATTCAACGGAAATTATTTTTTCCTTTAAGCAGATATAAAATTTATTGTTTTACCCTGAAAATTGTTTGAGTAATGAGAAGTTGACTTACTTTAAATTATAATCTTAATACCCCAAAGTTGCTAATGGACAGTTTCAAATAGAGAAGATGGACAAGTCCATTTAAGAAATTTAGGATGTTGAGGGCTTACATGCAACCATAAATACTTTAATCACAATTTGAGAGTTGATTGCAAAACTGTTGTAAGTCCTCCTTTATTTCATGTAAGTAACTGTAGTGTTGCAGTCATACCTCAATAAAATATTTGTATAGAGAGCTGTGTAATATATAAATGTTTCATATGAATATTTACACTGCTTTACAATACTGATGTATCATATAATCTCTGTTGCCAGGTATTTAACATGTGATAATAATAAAAACAATGATAACTGTCAAATATAAATGATTGAAAATGGTGATTATGATACGAAATATACAGATTAAGCGATTTTGTAACAGTTTTGTTAAATTTTATCAAGTTATGATAAAGACTGTTGTTTTTAGAGTGTAATCTGCTGATAAATTCATTTAAGCCTTTATATGATGGAATTTTTTTTTTTTTTTTTTTTTTTGCTGTTTGCAATGGCTATGAAAACCACTCTCTTAAGGGTGAGTTTTTCAATTGTGGGGTTAATATCTTTTTATAGTACTGATTTTTAAATCATTGAAAGAAGTTTTTGCTGGGTTGCAAAGATATTCTGCATTTTGTTAGAATGCAATGTTATGCTGACCTGTAGAAAGCTTGAAGTGACTTAGTGACCATACTGATAAAGGTCAAAGGTAGAAAACATAAAACATTTGCGAGCAAGTGAGTATTTCTGAATGAACTTGTCCATGTTTTAGCAAAACTATACTGTTGACTTATGTACTTCCAAATTTTTATCTTTATACCCTTAAAACTGATAATGGACTATTTTCTGAAAGTGGGCATTGGTCAATATAATTCAGGAAATTTTTAAGGGATAATTAAAAGTTTTTATACAAAATTTATCAATAGTAAAATTATATTGCTTCCAAAATCTTCTGGTCTATTCTGAAAAGAGTTGTAGCATAAAATGTCCCTGAATATTGTACGTAAACAGAATAAACGTTCCCGAACAAAATATTATTCTACTATTTCAAGTACGGTTAACCGCTTTAACCATTTAGCAATGATTTTGTATATGAACCATTCACTTTCAATGTAATTCACTATCTTATATATTTCATATATTTTTGAAAGTATTTTGTTTTTAAATTGAAACAATAATTTTTGCTGCAGATATACAGTTTTATACACTTTAACATTTAACATATTGTACATCCAAAAAAATTGATAAAATGGTATTTAAATAAGTTCATTCAAGAGTTTACCATCAGAATGTAAAATTCTATTTATCATACTGTGATACATCCCTAAAATTGATAATAAACTGTTTTAAAATGGAAATTGGCCAACACCATTCAGAAAACTTGACCTGCATTTTCCGATGATATATCTTGATTTGAATGTGTGCAACCATTACCAAGATAATTAATGGAAACTGACGATGACGGAATGAGGGAAGGACGGCATGACAGAACAGGGTAACACTATATGCCCAGGCCATTTTATGGCGGGGGCATAATTAAGAGTTGACAATCACAATGAAAATATCAACTTACCATACTTGGAAGAGCTATGCCAGAACTAAAACATAAACTACCATCACCCATGTCATCCAAGAAACCTGAAAAAGGGCATACATTACTGAATATTAAAGGACAAAAGTAGGGATAAACATTTGTAATATGATTACTTCTGTTCTATTCTTATAATGCACTTGTCCAGTTTTTAATTTGAAACAGTCAATTCAAAGTTTTAAGGGGTTTAAACATTTAGTTCAGAAAATAGCAAATTATCATTTTAACAACTGGCATTAATATTTACTCTACCAATCCCCTTTCTTATGGTGACAAAAATGCACATAAGTACTATTTTTAGATGAATAAAAAAATGTACCTCTCATCACATAATACCAGAGTAGGTAAAAATCCCTGTCTGCCTTCTCACTGACTATTACAATCTCATTATCACGCTTTGGTACCTGGAAAGGAAGGGGAAAAAAGTGCAGTATGAAACATTGGACTAAATAAATATTCATCAAGTAATTATTAATTACAGGTCTCATATATCAAACACCACCCACCTGACTTTATTAACATTAAGCATTTTAATGAAAACTGAAAATGTAACACTTCATCTGCAACTTTAACTTACCACCACAAACATACCACTCTGTGCGTTATATCAGGCACAAACAGACACCTGAGTAAAACCAATGACATACTGTAAGCTAGCAGGATAGCTTTCTCACTTGAAATAATCTGAAGAACCTACAGCGGTGAGAGGCAAGGGGTTTGAAGCCAACGACCTTAACCACTCTGCAACAGACACCCCCAATTAATATATTCCATTGATTTTTTGTTTGTTTATTTTAATGTCAAACTCCTTTTAAGGTTTGCTGAGTCGTGCCAGGTTACTGATTCTAGCGTATCATAACCATTTATCACACAGATATAATTTGATTTTCTGGTTTTTATGTCGAATTTAACACAATTTTTGGTCATATCTCAGCAGTCAATGCCCCTGATTTGCTTTCCTGCATACCTAATCAATAATTACCAACTTTGCAAAACATCCACCTAATTTGCTTTCCTGGATAACTAACCAGTAATTACCAATTTCTCCACGACTGACACACTAACAATCCCACAGTTGAAAAAATAAAGCATCAAAAATAAATCTATCATGTAAACTGTAGACACTTACCAAATTAGCGAAGGCAACAGCTTTGCCATAGTTTACAGTAAGACCTAATATAGAATGCATCTCTATAATATCTGTGAAGTAATTATGATCCGGAACTTCAGTATTGTAATCTAATGCGGCCTTCTTCCATAACTCCATCACACCTTAAACAACCAGAAAATTTTATTTACTACATTATAATTAACAAAATGGTACAGTACCATGAAAATATGTCCATTTTTTCGGAATTCAGAAGTTCCAGTAATAAGAGGATATATTTGAATGAACTTATAAGGATAAAATACCCTACGATTTTCAGAGGGTCCGGTTTTCAGAGCTTTTACTGTAGTACAGTGAAATTATCTACACTGTTTAGTGAGATCACCTTAACTTATTCCTATTAAATCAAATGATCCAAAAAATTAAAGCATTTTAAATTAATATACATTAGAACAGAACATAAAGAAATATTTATTTTGTGAGCTCTGTTTAAAAGAGTTAGAGGCCTCCAGCTTTTTTAAAGGTTAAATATGTTATTTTTAGATACATGTTTCATATAATTGTCAAATCAAAAGAATTAAGGTGTAAAATGAAATTTGTCCTCAATAAATTAAACAAACAGTACAGAAACCCCTCGATACCTCTAATCTACCGTGTAAAGTAAAGCCAATCTTCTATTTTTAGAAACGAACATCACTGCATGCTGTAAATAGCTCTCGAGGTGTGTTTTGAAGAAGGCTTAGCAGTGATAAAATGCACTTTTCCTAGGTATTATTACTGAAATACTTAGTTTGAAACAACACACAATTGATTTTCCAACAACAAATAAAAGCTGAAGGCCTCTTTAAAACTATAAAATAGTCATCATCTTAGAATACTGACCTTGGTATGCATCTTTATCAAGGAAACCATGAATATGAGGATGAACTTGACTAGCCCCTGCATGAGGTAGAAGGTCCCATATCAATGATGGGTATTTATAGGAACTGTCTATTTTATACACTTTGTCAAACCTGAAATTTCCATGCAATAATAGTGTACCTAAGTCATTGAGATCAATTTATACAGTGATAGATTAAGATATACAATATCGATAGGAAAAAATCTGTTCCAGCTGTTAGGTAGGTTTTTCTGGTGTTATTTTTTTTCTTTTTTATATGAAACACTTTTATCTTACCATAAAGAAACATTATTTTAGCTATATATTGCTAGCTACAATTTAGCATTATTTAGCATTAACACAACAAAAATAAGCATTTTTTTTTTAATATAGACAATTACAAAATTAGCAATTCATAGCATTTTGAAAAAAACTAGAAATGTGTCCATAGGACACGGGTGCCCCCACCGCGCCACTGTTCTGTCAATCTTTTTACTAAGTCAAGGGAAATAACTCTACAAATACTGGATAAATCCACAAGCGAAACCCCAGGTGCAAATCTAAATATGCTGAGCAATCTGCCCATAAGGTTTAATGACTATGTCAAATCCTTTTTGAGTAACTTGCGACACAAGTTGAAAATTGCAAAAATTTTCTAAGTGAAGGGCAATAACTCTAAAAATACTAAATAAATCCAGACGAAAATACCTGTTGCACAACTGCACATGCTGATCAATATTCCTGTAAAGTTACATGACTCTAGGTCAAATACTTGTTGAGTTACGTGCGACAAATGTTGAAAATTGCAAAATTTTACTAAGTCAAGGGCAATAACTCTGAAAATACTAATAATATCCAGACGAAAATAACCAGGTGCACAACTACACATGCTGATCAACATTCCTGTAAAGTTTCATGACTCTAGGTCAAATACTTTTTGAGTTACATGCGACACAAGTTGAAAATTGCAAAATTTTACTAAGTCACGGGCAATTACTCTGAAAATGCTAAAAATATCCAGACGAAAATACCCAGGTGCACAACAACACATGCTGATCATAATTCCTGTAAAGTTTCATGACTCTAGGTCAAATACTTCTTGAGTTACATGCGACACAAGTTGAAAATTGCAAAATTTTACTAAGTCAAGGGCAATAACTCTGAAAATACTAAAAATATCCAGATAAAAATACCCAGGTGCACAACTACACATGCTGATCAACATTCATGTAAAGTTTCATGACTCTAGGTCAAATATTTTTTGAGTTACGTGCGACACAAAAGTGAACGGACGGACAGACGGACAAGGGTAAATCTAAATGCCCGCCACTAACGTGGGGGCACAATAAATAAAATAAAGCATTAATTACCACTGCTGGCTGGTAAGCATTAGATCTAAGAATTGTTCTTGTGTCCAGTTATGTGGATGATGGGATTTTAACATAAACAGTGCATGCCATCGGTCAAGCTTAAACGTATTCGAGGCACTGTAAGAATATTTATTGTCAATACGTCCAAACACATCCTGGGCAGTGGAGTCTTTATATTTACAGAAATCACAGCTGTCTTTTGTCTCTCTAGCAATCTGGTCGATGCTGGAACACAATTTTTTTTTTTTTACATAAATATAAATTTACAAAGATACATAGATTGAGGGATTTGAATTTAAAAATATAACAAGAGCTCTCTGAGAAGCGGCACCCTCTTGTGACAATGTGAACTCATCAAGGTAGAAGCTTCTTAATAAGTTTGTGATAGCTTTTAAGTACCGAATGTCATGACCATAAATGAAAACTTATCCAAAATGTTAACTAAAGAGTAATATGCCTTTTGGTAAAATTTTTAACTAAAAAGTTGAGCTTTCCACAGTTGTAGAGCCAGTTTAAAATAAGCAGGCTGGCCTGGCTCTGTACTGGTGACAATGGGTAATTAATCACTTTCACTTCCAGCAGGTCATTAGATGGTTAATAGCTTTATTTAAGACAACACAGATTTATCAACTTGGTAAGTTTCAAGGAAAATCTTGATGCAAAGTATTAATTGGTACCTTAATTGATAAACGATTATATATTTTATAAGTTTTTCAAAAAAATTACTTTTGATATATATTATAGTGATTAAAAGTTAAATTTTATGAAAATACTAACTTGACATTTCAAACAGCAAATAATTTTCATTGTTTAGATTATGATGTAATTTCAATGACATCAACAGTGTCATCACTTTTAACTCCACATGGACCAAATCCACTAGATGAGGGTTAATTTGTTTAAAAAATGAACTTACTATTGTCGTTCAGGAATTTTAGGTATAGACATAGGACGTTTACTCCTGATAGGGTTATACACATTCTGTTCACGTGTATATCTATTATACACGGATATGATTTTCTGAAAACATAAACACAATCATACATTGTTCATATTAAAGGCCCATAATCCCTCAGAAATGCTATCATTTTTTCTTGTCGAAAAACTTTTTTTATTTTTATTTCATGCATCTTGTTACAGTAACCAAAAAATAAGCATTGCCATATACTTAAATTAACTTTACCTGATTTTGTTATGTTGGCAAGTTGTATAATTATAGTGAATTAATATTTTGTATGGAAGTCAAAATACTACTTTGTTTACATTTTTGCTACCTTTATGACACATATATGCATGTTCAGAGGTACTTCTTCACTTGTTAAGCATCTAACATGCTCTTAATCCATTATCAAAACAATACTAAACATGTTTGACATTTCTAAAAAAATATACAAAACATATGGATTTCTGAGGCATAATGTGCCTTTAAATAGCATCTATACTTTTGGCTTATGTTTATTTTGGTAGGTTTAACAATGTGCTCTAAATTTAAAAGATTTCCAAAATAAATACCTTAAAAATAAGGTTGTCATTGATAGAAAATTTTGTATTGATACAGTAAAAGCAGATTAATGACAATATATGCATATTTCAAATTAAATATCTAGTACAGTGGAAACCACAGGGAGATATTGGTTTTAATTTGTATCAATATGCTAAATTATGAATCAATACTGACTCAAACATTGATGATACATTGTATATTGATATTGTTGTATACATTGACAGTCCTATGTTAAAATCATATTTGATTCACATCTTGAACCTATATTTCCTAGTTAAATTTTAATCAAAAGCTGTGGCCTTAACTATTGTCAAAGACTTGACAGTCAAAAAAGAACTTGACTGGTAAAAACTTTTAAGTAAAGAATATAAAGAAAGGGTCATAAATATGCATGCCATAAGTTATATAGTATGTATCAAAAGGTTCAGTGAAAAATTGGGGAGACAAAACAAGAGCTGTTGGTAGGACAGCATGCTCAACTATTCTCAGTGTTTGATAGAAAAACAAGAGCATGAGAAACACAGAATTCTTTTTAAGTTCAAAGGGCAATAAATCTGTCAAAATCCATGTTCAGATTTACAGGCCTTGGATAGTGACCTCCTATTATGCTCTCATATCAGTGTATGAAGTTTCAACACATTCTCTTCAATATGTTTCAAGATATCAACATGCATGCAAAACCATAACCAAAGTGTGATGCCTTTCTTCAAAAGGTTGACCTTAAAACTAGCACTGTCAGACAAGGAAGCAAATCCCATGGCAGACACTCTGTTGTGTATGACAGCTTCACATACTTAACAAAAAAAGTGTCATTTTGGCACCTTATCAATCACATGAGATTCATTCCTATATGTAGTGAATGTTAGTAATATTAATTGAAGAAATAGGGTTATTGGTTCCCATTGAGATGTGGCATTTGTGACCAGAGGGGTATCATAAATATAGCTTTAGTAGGTGTGTTTTACTAGTATATAACTCTATGTAACATAAAAAAAAATACCCAGGGTGGGCATAATTTTGACCACTGGGCTTCATTGGCCATCAGAGAGAAATATTTTTAAAACTAAGTTTTATTAAAATTTATGCACAGACTAGGACCATTTCTTTATTAAATTTTGTAGAGGGCCACCTAAGGCTTCATATGCAGAAAAATATATGCTTGCTTCATTAAGGGCCATAATGATAATAAAAAACTTTAAATACTTAAGCATTTGTAGTTAACAGCATACCTGCTTTTTTGCCTCAGCAAATAATTCTTCCTTATTTCCAAGCCATTTTCTAACTTTTGAAGAGAAAGCATCTGGGATAACTATTTCTGCCTCCTGGAATGTTAGCCTGAATAACTTCAGAAATGTGAAAAACAGCTTCCTGCAATAGTAAAGGGCCAATTTTATTTGGTTGATTTTAGATCACACCAACACAGTACATGTAAAGGTCATATGGGGACCTTCCAGCTTTACCGTGGAGGAAGACCTTCCGTTCATTATTTCAGGCACAAATGGGGAAAAAAGGCAAAAATAAAAGGCATTGATCCTCATTGCATTCTAAATAAGCAACATCCCAATTCAGCACAATTTTAATACATTCACTCGTTATTTTAAAGCTTTTTTTCACTGGAAATAGTATTTGTAAAACAAAAACATAGTTGGCCAACTGTAGCATAAACACTGTAGGAAAATAAGGTTACCTGCACTCTTTATCTTTGGACTTCCTCCACTCAGTCATCATGACCTCTAGATCTTCAAATACATCTGGTGTACCAGTCTTCAAACATGAATGCTCAAACCATAACTGCAAGTACATTGTATACACTGAAAACCTGTTTTAAAACCACCTCTGAATAAGCATAACCCTGTAGATAAAGGCCACTTTTCTATAACCCTTAATTGATTAAATAAAATAAAGAAACCTCAATATAAAGACCACTTGTCTATAAACAGCATTATTTGTCTTCTACGAGTGGCCTAAATTTGTTCACAGGTATGTCAGTATATATAAATTATGACATCAGTTCAATGGGATCTTAAGGAGAGTTGAATTCTAACCTTTAACCTGCCTGCCATATTAATGAATGAACTTTTGAAGCTTTGACTTTGGAATGACTGAGTTAAGACCCTTGTTGTACAGGTTGGCTAGGCTCTAAATACTGCTACCAATGGATAAAGGTGCGTTGAATCGTAAAATGCGTGAAATACTGGCCAATGATTAGCGGTGATTTATGCTCCAATAAACACGACAGCAGTCGGTAATTTCCGCTGAAAAAGGTTTAGTGGCCTTTTCTTACGAATATAAATGGAAATATCGCTGTGGTAAATTACCATTCAATGGGACCTTTAAGCTTAAGATTTGTAACGGTCAAACATGCAAAATCTAAGTTTAAATGGCTGATGGAAAAATCGCGCAAAGCATTAATATGTAACCTGTTGATTGGTTGATTCATTTAATCATTACAAGCAAATAAAACATTACAATTATACCTTAACTCTGTTACAGCAAGAAACTGAAATCAGTTTTCTTTAAACCATTTGCATGCTGGGAAATTGTCTTCTGCTTAAAATGTCATCTTCTGAATATATGAATTAACTTATTAAATCCAAAGTAAATTAAGTATGACAGTCAATCAGCTTGGTACCATATAATATTCTGTGGTATTCAGTATCTGGTCTGCTAGCAAGCTAATTGGTCTGGTACAAAGATGACAGGTCTGGTACCATTAGCTGACTGATCTGGTATCAAGCTATCTGGTCTGGTACCAAGCTAACTGGTCATGTATCAAGCTGTCTGGTCTGGTACCAAGCTGACTAATCAGGTACCAAGCTGACTGATCTGGTACCTAGCTGTCTGGTCCAGTACCAAGCTGACTGGTCTGGTACGAAGCTGACTTGTCAAGTACGAAGCTGACTGGTCTGGAACAAAGCTAACTGGTCATATACCAAGCTGACTGGTTGTGTACCAAGCTAACAGGTCTTAAACCTAGCTCACTGATCTGGTGCCTAGCTGACTGGTCTTGTACCAAGCTGACAAAACACACACAAACAAAGCAGGTTACTGTTTGAAATCTTACCTTGTCCTTGACTGGCTGTGATTTATATGGTAACCATTTGCTTGTGTCTGGGTTGAGGTGTGGAGGAAGACGCATGGTGCCCAACAGGAAGAATGTAACCATGCACAGTGAGAATAGAACGGCCACAGCTATCCATCGCCGGGCATTTGTGCAATTTCTCGCAGACTGTTGCATCAGGAATGAAAGACAGGTGTTACACAATCTGAAATTAAACGATTCTTTTTGTTAATTTCTAAATTTTTGAAAGTTAAAAATAGAAAAAATACATGTAATGTAAGAGCTGTCACAGGAACAACATGCTAGACTACTCACAGTATTTGATAGTAAAACAAGAGCCATGTTGAAATTTTCTACACTCAACAAAGGGTAATTTGTAATTTTCCTTAACAAGGGTGACATAAATATGCCTGTCACACTGTCACAAAAGCTTTAGGTGGAGACATGGACAAATAAAGTGTGGCAAGCAAGTTGGTCTCTTTACATATTTAAATATTTTACCTCTATGTAAGACCTTGACCTTGGTTGCAGGGACCTGAATTTTGTGCGGGACACTCATTCTCACACTGATGAGAATTTGTATTTTTGCAGAAGTTTTGCTCAGGACTAGCATTTTTAATTAGCTCTAAATGTGACCTTGACCTTTGATCTAGGGACCTGAATCATGGGTGGTGAACATTTCTATAAAGTATTATAAAAATTCTTCCATGCAATTAGAAGATATGCTCCAGACAAAATCTGAATATTTCATCATCTCAAGTGACCTTGACCTTGCACATATTGACCTAAATTACATGTGTCACAGCCAAAGTCATGATAATAGCCATTTGTGTTACAATCCCTCAATAAACGATGACTAAATGGTTGCTATACACATCTTCATATTTTTATCTGAATGTTGACCTCTATTTGTGACCTTGAACTTGGTTGCAGGGACCTGAATTTTGCATGCGACACTGACTGCCTTTCAATGGTGAACATTTGTGCCAAGTCAAATACTGAAATCCCTCTATCCATATAGAGGTTTTGCTCATTTTTCAATAACCTCTAAGTGTGACCTTGACCTTTGACCTAAAGACCTGGTTCAAGTGCATGACACGGTTTCTCACAGAGATGTTTTACTAGAAATATGCTGCTGACAAAATTGCACGCTGCCGAATCACCAGGGGCATTCCCATAATATGTCCTGGTTTACAAACGGGTGTATAAACATGATGAATGGTTAAATCCATACTGAAAGATAATGAAGTCCATTTAAGATACATATCACGTCCTCTTGGTTAACATTTCTGCAAAGTAATTTCAATTTCCTTCCACCAGTTCAAAAGACACAGACAGACATGAAAATGATAACAGCCGGATGGCCAATCAAGTGAAAAGCCATAAAAAAATACTTGAGAAATAAAAGTGATAGCATTTTTAAGCTATAATGGGCCTTTAAAATAATTTAAAGAGATCTTGAAATCATTTGTTTTGGTTTATAAAAAAATGTAAATATGTCATTAAGAGTTAATCAAATTTTCATTTTTTTGTTTAAAAACGCAATCTCTTTATTTACTTATCTATACTATTAAGACATTAAATAATTGCAAACATCAATCTTGATAATTATCTATAATGTTCAATACAACAAAAAGAACACAAACTAAATATGCACAGAGCAAATGCTCCATTATAAAATATTATAACTTTTAAAGAACCAAATGCAACCACAAAACAAAACCTGACTTTTATTATAACAAAACCAAAACTTCAACTGAAAGAAAATTAGATGTTCTCTCAGATTGATAAAGGGTGTGATAAGATAAATATTTTGGCTACAAAATAAAACGATTTTACAACACTTTACATTCCACATAAAAAAACACACACCATAAACAGGAAGGATATGATAACACTCTAGGATGAAGACAATACACCAAGAACTAATAAAGTTATGATCAACATACAAGATTGCAGATGGCATCCGCAACATGACTGTAACAATGCCTCTATGATTTTGAAAAAAAAAGTCGAGCTAAAAATATGTTAAAATCAACATAAAAAACAACCAACCAAACAAAAACAAAAACATACACATTCATCATACAAAAATAAAACATTGAAATATATAGTTTTTTTTATTCTTATACTGCCCCCTAGAGAAAGGCCTAGAAAGTTTGTTCTGATAAAGGTTTCCGATTATTTTCAGTTACCTAATTTTGTTGACAGATTATTTCCAGTTACCTTATTTTGTTGACAGATTATTTCCAGTTACCTTATTTTGTTGACAGATTATTTCCAGTTACCTTATTTTGTTGACAGATTATTTCCAGTTACCTTATTTTGTGAACGGATTGTTTCCAGATTAACAACATTTTAATATCGTGCAGCTTAATGTCAGCCTGTTTCCATAAATGCCATTTTCTTAAGGGTTATAATAGTTTTATTATATTTAGGGGAGACAAGACACAGAAAATTTAAGGGCATGGCCTTACTTAAATTTCACCTAATTAAGATTAACCAAGCTTAATTTTGTTTAACTTCCTTCAGTTAGTTTATAACTACATAGGAATAAGTGAACCATTTCTTATATTATGTATACTATATATATTTCTTATATAAGTTTAAGTTGAAGTTGTATCAGTAATGATTATCAAATACATGTAGAAATTATCAATGTTTACAATAATATTTTAACTCTTTTATAAAGTTTTAGCATTAAGGGAAAGCTCTGAGTGCTAAATTAACAACAGTACAAGATCCGCGGAGTAACACCCTTTTCTCCGCTGAATAACACCCTTTTCTATGTTTAGAAATGAACGTCACTGATGCTTAATAAATACATACATGTAGTTCTGGGCAAGCTGTTTGAAATTTGAAGAAGGCTTAACAGTGATACGATACACTTTTCCAAGATAAAATTTTAAAACTGAAATACAAATTAGTTTGAAACAACACAAGAATTGTTTTTTCCAACAGAAAAAAAATGCTGACAATATCTCTTGATTTAGGTGATTGGCCTTTGCCTCCACTTAGAGACCGCCCTGTAATATCTGTGCTGTCTGACCTGGCTAAATTCTGTTGGGATTTTTATCTTTTGATATCTTAATCCATTAAATCTTGAATGAATCATTCAAATTTAAAGCTGAGGGCTAATCCATTTCACAAATTTAGCAGGTATGAGCAGCCTTAAACTTAAGCCTAAATGTATTATATTTCAAACAAAAGGACTAACAAGTCAGTACCTGTAAATGTATTAACTAAAGTGTATAAAGCTATATACATGTATATGCTGCCTGTTTATATTTTGAAAAAGAATACTTCCAAATACCTGTATGAAATTAATGTTTTTGGGATAGCTGTATAATGGGATGATTCTGTACAAGACCACTTTAAGTTTTCAATTGAATTCATAAACATCATTCTTTCAATGCATGTATACATTCAATGATTGTATCTATGATATTTTTCTCTTCATCAATTATCGATACAGATTTGAAAAATAAATCAATATTTTTACGCATTATTAAAATGTCTAAAAATCACAAAAAAACACCAAAAACATAAATGAAAGCAGATGCCCTAGCTGTATCAAAAAGACATGTTAACAACTATAATGCCGTCCATTAACGTACATATTTCATAGAAGTGATAACAAAAGATGGGCGAAAAAAAACAACACCAAAAAACATGCAGAATTCATTTAAATGTATAAACAATATAAAACATAAATTTAAGCTGAAAATCAATTAAGATACATATTACTTGATATATCAATGTATTATACATGTCACCAATATCAATCATCCAATAACAATATATTGATTACATTTGTATATATCGTTTTAACTGAATCAGTCATGTGCTCCCAATTTTTTCAGACTTTGCTATATTATAATTCTTATCATTAGACAACCAAACGTACCTACAAGAACATGTACTTTTAAACCTATTAAGGTTATGACTTTGGACAGACTGTATCTAAAAATAAACAGGTTTTCCCCCAAACTGAATAATACTCTATTCCTCTACAAATTTTATCAGTAAATCACTTCAACCCAAAAATTCAGGAACAAAATCAATAGCAAAAAAACACAAACAAGAGGCGGTGACATATCTTTAGTAAAGAAACGTTTTACCTGCTTAAAGTTCGTCTAAGTTTTCTGTAGCGATAAATCCACAACATATTCTTAAAATTACAAAATCATTCAGACCACATGTATAATGTTTCTAAGGTACACAATCGTATAATATTGACATAATGAAGAAAATGTAATAAAATTACAGTACACACAAAACGTTATAATATGTAACTACACATGTACAATGTGTATTATAACTATATCAAATTTATCCGCATGATAATTATATGCTTTAAAAATAGCGCAATCTATTAAATCAATCAATGTTTAACAGGCTTGCAGCAATCATAAACATTATAAATATGCTAGCCTAGTTGGCAGTACATAAATAATAGTAAACATCTATTTATAGACGCTTTTTTTTTAAAGTAAAAAGAACAGTCAAGCATGTCCACTTGGGTGTAAATTCCCTATATTGATCATAAAGTAAATACTTTTTCAAGGCTAAGCAAATCATTGTGTTGATTCTTTGTGTTTCAAATTTCTATCATAGGATTTGCAAGGGCTTTTTTACTTGGTCTAAATATTTGCAGATTAAGACAGACACAATTAAATAGTTGATGGCAAGCACAGTCATGAATGAGAAATACAGTCAACACTGTAAAAAGGGGACTGCCAAAAAGAAAAACAAAAAGATATGACTTGAAATATATTTGCTGGGGTCAGTGATTTTTGCCCCTATATTTAACAGCTGAATAAAGGCCGTTTCCCATAGCACTAGCCGCTACTGCTTGCCCAAAATAGGTAAAATAGGATAATTGTCAGCTAGAAATGCTATATTTTTCTCTGAAATGCTCTGTGCATATTCTTCACCAGAACCAAGTGACTTAAACAGCAGCTGACTTACATGTAGATCAGCTAGTTGATATATATTATGAATTAACTGAAAGACAGAAAGCTGTCTCTATATACATGTCGCATAAAAACCTTTATTACAGAGGTTTTCAGACATGACAGGACTGAAAATAAATTTTCAAGATTTAAACCCCAGTCACACTAGAGCTTACAATTACTTGCGACCACCGGCAACTTGTAAAACTGACGATCATCAGCAATTGTCTGTGACCGAAACCATTTTTGCACAGATAAATTTACTTTTGCGAGTATCATAAGACAAGTCATCATTGACAATTAATCGCACGACAGGTCATAAGTAAACGTACAATGGTCTCAAGATGGCCTGGGATTACTTACGACTACCCGTGACATAACATGCGATCACCTACAACTTGTCGTACGACCATCACACAATAACTAAAGACTACTTAAGATTATCAGTGACTAGTGGCAATTTGTAAAGACTGTCGAACCGAAGATTGTCGCACTTCAGAACGACCATCGTGCGACAGCCTTAAGACCTTATAAGATCACTTGCGACCTGTTTGATCGCAAGGAGGTCTTTGTGCAAGCTCAAAAACCTCTCTACGACTGAAATTGGTCGTGGGACCTAAAATAGATAACCTGTGCGACTGTCAAAGATCATCGATGTCAAGACGTTTTAAAGATTGTCCGCGACCAGAGGTCACTGGTGATCGTGAACTGGTCTTCACTGGTCGTAAGCTCTAATGTGACTGGGGCTTTAAATGTTCCATTTCATGGACAGGTGCTTTTCACTTATATCGGGATAAGACTATCATTCAATTATGATTTCCAATTCACATCTGAGAATATTTCTTAATTATCTTTTGCATATCCTTCTCTTTAAAGTGTCCTTACTGATCTATGTAAGAAATTAAAATTTTATGTTTTTAGGCTTTTTGACCTCAGTGGAGTTCCTTTAATGTAATGAATTTTAGAAAGTGAAAATACTGATCCTGTAGTATACAACAATAACTTCAAAGACAGACATGTAGTACACAACATCTTTTAAAGCAAGGAACAATTTCACAAATACAAATAATTAAATTAGAAAAAAACTCTAAGCTTGAGTTACAGGTCTTGTATACTGGCTTATCAAATGACGCACTTATGGAGATAAAACATAATGTTGTGAAAAACTATAACAACAAAAATACAAAAATAACTACAACATTTTGTTAAAAGGCATATTGTATATAGCACTATGGCCAGTGAACAATAAATTATATATAACAGACAAAATGAAAAACATGAAAATGGTACAATGATATACATAAAATGTATATAAAAGAAGATGTTTCCCAGATGGAGATTATATTTTGCAGAAATATCAACCAGTAATGTATATATGCAATTTGATACAAATTCAGAAAGAATTATGACCTACAATTTTGATTCAATTAACATTTAATAAAGAGTAATATTTCCGGTAAATACCTACTGACATCCAAAATTTAACCTTTATCATGCTGCCAGGAACCAAACGTGATTAGCCTGTGCCATTAATATAGAGCCAGGAACCATGCTCTATAACTGTTGCGTATTTTTGATAAATTATAAATGCTATCCCTTAAACTTTGAATGGACTTTTCCAAATTCAAAACTGGGCAAAGGCAATTCCATTGCTTTCAGAAGTTGGTAAAGATTCAACTTCCATGCAAAAATTGACCAAGAATTTCTTTACTTCCAAAAAGGCTTTATTTATATCAGTGACAGTCAATGCGAAAGTCAAAAAAAAATTCCAGCCACAAGGACTGGGATCCTTAGATTTATTTCCGGCCCTGATGATTTTTTCCCGGCCCAGACTCTGAAAGGTATTTTTTGTAGGGGTGGGGGAGGGATATTGCCGTAATTATAAACAAAAATATTTAGCAAATATGAATTATCAGACTCAACTATAAGATACTGTGAAAAAAATATACAAAAACATACCGTAATAAATAAAACATTAGCATAATTCAGCAAAACTATATATCTTTCATAGGTTTAATTTTGAAGATTGGAGAAAAAATATGTTTTGGTAAGGAAATTATCCAAGACAAGATGGTGGCTTACATTACTTAGCAAAAACTGGTTGTATCTTGCGGTGATTTTGGTTATCTGGGTCTGTGAATACAAGCAAAAATGAAAAAAAAGATCAATCTTGGAAGTTTTGCATATTTTAGAAGGCCAAAAATTGTTTCAAAGTGGCTGAAATTTTATTCGGACATGAGACTGACAGTATCGAAATTTATCTCAGCCCTCCTGATTTTTAGTTAGTGAGGTCCGAGGACCGACAGACTTTCGCACAGACTGTTATATATATAGTTAATAGAACTCCAATTAATATGATCTAAAAGACATGCATGAAGAATCAAGCAAAGACAAGAAGTGGTTTATGAGACATGAAGTTTTAAATGAAGTTGCAGGTAAAATTTTTAATAGAGTTATATAATCAATGCCTCAGAAATGAATAAATATTTCTTTAGAAAGGTCAAACATGAGTTTTATAATGTTTAAATAATGGTTTTAGAGCAACTTAAATGTCTGTTACATGAAGAAAATATGCCTAATATGTCATGAAAGTAGGTAGCAAAATGTAAATAAAGTGCTATTTTGACTTCCCTACAAAATACTAAACCACTATAAATGTGCTAACTGCAAAAAAGCAACAAAAGAAGAAGACAGTTCAAGTAATTGGCCAATTAGTAACTTGTTAGAAATTATAAAATACCAAAAATAAAAAGATTCTGATGGACAGCTAAATCCCCTTCCGCAGCATGTACTTAAACTTGACTTTAACACTTGAACTTAAAATATGACCTTCACTTTGGGGGTAGCAACCCAATTATTGCGCTCTGAACAGTATTTCAGTGGCGCAAAATATAGACTTTTTAACCAGTGATTTTCCTGCTTATATAACAGACTCCGATTAAAGGCCTCTCCCCAATTGAAATTTTCTTTAAAATCATGCAGTTTTCCCAAAAATTTTAACTTAAACCTGCTTTTTTACTTCCCAAAGTAGCAATTTTAGCAATTATTTATCCCAAAATCAAGAGGCTTTAGGCCTCTTCCCATTAAGTGATAAAAATCACTGTTAACACTTGACCTTTAAGTGTGACCTTGACCTATTGGGTAGCAACCAAATTATTGTGTTATGCACATTGTCTCATAATGGGGTTTAATTGTGCCAAGTTATTTCATAAAAAAATTTAGCAGTTTAAAAGTAATGAAGCAGACATGAAAGTGTTACAGACGGAAAGACGGACTGACAGATTGAAAGACAGACAGACTGACTGACATACATTGTACAGTGGCCATTCCTATAATTCCCTCTCTGCTTTACAGAAGGGGATTAAATTTTAAAACCTTTGAATTGTCAATATGAATAAGTTATAGAGGGAACATGAAAAACAGTTGTTTTAAAATTAGACCTTTGAGTGTGGACATGACCTTGAGGGTATTGTCTTGATTGTTGTGCTCTGCATATGACGTCATAATGGTGATCATTTCTGCCAAGATGAAGTTATCTTAAAAACATTGCAAGCAGCAGTTTAAATGTTATGAAGCGGACATGAAATGTAGATTTTTTCACACTTGACCTTTAAGTGTTACCTTGACCTTGAGGATAGCAACCCAATTATTGTGCTCTGCACATAACCTCATTATGGTGATCACTTGTGCCAAGTTACAGTAAAAACTCTGAAAACCGGACCCTCTCCGGACTAGACCAAAAGTCCGGTTTTCAGAGGATTCCGGATTATAGAGGTTTTGTACATTTATTGATTATTATGATGTGTTTGAACAATGACTTTGTTAAAACATTTTGTATTTACTTTTTAACATTTTGTCTAAGTCATATCTTAATTTCTTTTAGCAATAAATGTCTTAAGTAATTATATTATGCAAATCCATGAATATAATTCAGAAAATCAGAAATTAAAACAACACATTGTCTGAAATATATCTTTTTAATTGTAAATATGTAATTAATGGAATTAAGTATTACTTTTTCGCATGTGATAAATATCCAAACAAAGATCAAAATTTTTAGCAAAACAAGAATCATTTTACAAAAGTTTCTAATTCTTTTAGACTTTTTATATTTAAAGAAAAAAAACACAACAATTTAAAAACATTTATAAAAATTGCTGTCCGGTTTTCAGAGGATTTTTTATGCATGTTTAGCATTAGAAGCCAATGAAAAGCGTCCGGTTTTCGGAATTCAGAGGTTCCGGTATTCAGAAGATTTTTTTCAATGAGCATATAAGGAGAAAATATGGGACTTTTGAAATGGTCCGGTTTTCAGAGGGTCCGGTTTTCAGAGTTTTTACTGTATTTCAAATTTTTTTCAGCAATTAAAAAGTTTTGGAGCTGACACGAAATGTAGACTTTTAACACCTGACCTTTAAGTGGGACTTTGGCCTTAAGGGTAGCAAGCCAACCTAATTTTACGCTCTGCACATTGTCTCATAATGGCAATCACTTGTGCCAAGTTATTTCAAAAAAATTTCAGAAGTTTAAAAGTTATGGAGCAGACAAGAAAGTGTTAGAGACAGACGGACAGGCGGATGTGTGATCAAATTTGGATAAAGGCCCATTTCTATTGTTATTTTCTTTTGTTTAATAGAAGGCCATTGGCCCCTTCCTCTATTGTTACAGAATGAACTCTCTAGTTCACTAATTTGTTCTGTTTATAGTAATGTAACGTTTCGACATTTTTATTTAGCTTTGTTTTGATTAAAGATTATCATTTACTCAAATGATATTAGTGTTACTTTACTATTATGTTATTTGTTTATATTGCGACAATATATTTTAGTTTACGGTACTTTACAATATACGTTTGGTATACAAATTTTCAATTTAAACGTTTGATATCATATAATGTAATAAACGTCTCGGTGATCAGGATTACTTTGATCAGCCAATGAAAATAAGTCACGCTTGAGCGATCATCTAAGCAGGTATAAATACGGCGATTAGAGCAAGAATTATTCAGTCTGCAGAGGAATTCACCGGGACCAGATTATTCTATGTAACTGAAGCCTCGCTTCATACATAGAGGATAATTTCGTCTACCTAACTGAAGCTTAGCTTCATACATGTAGGTAAAAAAGAAGAACTGGCCAAAACTAAATACCCTTGTTTATCCAATTGAAGCCTAGCTTCATGAATATAGTGTCGATAGATTAAAGTTTGTGAAATTGTATTTGACTCTTGGTACTTATAGACCACCACATTTTCTGAAAGCCTCGCTATCAGGGAATTGGTAACATATAAGTATTAAAAATCCATAGGTAGAGTAATAACGAATTATAAGTTTTGTGTAGATAAAAATAGTTGGAACTTTGTTGTAAATCCCTACCAGCAACTTATCTTTCTATCTAAATAGAAGTCTCGCTTCATAGATAGGGAGGTAGTTGCTGGACTATAGGAAATTATCGGGTTGCAGCGTGATATCTATAGCTTTCGAATTATTTCATAGTGTTATATTGTAAACAGTTTTACTATATTGAGACTTTTGAGAATTTAATAGTGTATTTCGGAGTTTAATTCAATCTGATTGTTTATGGTATATGATAATTTCATAATCATTTGTATCTAATCAAACGGCAGGTAGCCCAAAGAAAAATTTATAAGAATTAAGATATTTGTTGTACATCCGCTCGGTACACGTTACAGTAAGATGGCCCTCTAGTAACCCTATTTGGTAGGGCGTACTGACAGACGAAAGCCATTCCTATAATCCCCCACCCGCTTTGAGGAAGGGGATTAATGTAGGTATTTCTGGGGAATAATGAGCCTTTAATGCATGATATGGGTACAAATGTAGGTAGGATAGCATGACTAAAATATGATCTTACAGTTCTTGCTACTATAAATACTATAATATACTCTATAGGAAAAGGGTCTACAAAGAGTAATACACGCACATACATATAAGTATGTCATCATTACAAAAGAGTAATGCATGCACATACACAATATAGGGTTAAATATGTGATCATTACAGTACAACACTCAAGAACACTTTACTTACCTATTAGAACACCTGGTACTTGACAGAAGCATCACTTGTCATGCATTTATCTAAAAGCCAAGAAACACAATGACAGACAATGATACTTTCTGAAATTTGGTACAATACCATTTAAATCTATACAGTCTACATATATTACATTGTACATAATTTTTGATTTTATCAATTTTAATATTAATAATATATAGATAACATTTTGAATCAGGGTCAGCTCTGCCCTAAATCGTGATATTGGTTTGTTTTATCACTCAATATTGTCGAATAATCAATACATGGATTTATTCACAAACGTGGAAAGAAGTTTTCTTAAATTATTTATAATCATCAGCTTTCATGTTTTTTTTAAAGAGGGCCGAGTTGACCCGTGCCGAGTTGACCCGTGCTAAGTTGGTAAAGGACCGAGTTGACTCTTTACCTAACTTTTTATGTAAAGGACCGAGTTGACTCTTTACCTAACTTTTTAGTCAATAAGTTCTCAGGCAAGATGGAGATGACCTAAGTCTAAGATTAATCACTAATCTGATGATATGGTTAATTTAATGAATGACACATTTAAATCTAAAAATGTGAAGTTTAATATGAACAATATGATTATTTCAACTGACTTCCCCATTCATAGGCTTTGCCTTATTTCATATTACTAGATCTATCATATAGACAGGGTCTTTCAAATAGGTAAGATAATTTTGACTTAAAAAAAAAACAACAACATTTCTTTGCCTCCAAATATAAATCTAACTTGGACTGAAAGACAAACAACTGCCGCTTTAGATAGCTTCTTCTTTATGTACCTTGCTTGTTAAATGCGGCTTAATTTCAAATTTGATTAGTTTATAAATGTATGCCACTATGGGCCACAGCGTGTCATTTGGGCCGAGCTGTCCTGAGTTCGTACAGGGCCGAGATGGAATGACAGACTATTCTCTCCCTTACCACTTCCTCCCCCCTGACGGTTCTCCCCCAAACCATTTCCTCCCCTGACGGTTCTCTCCCATTTTTGAAATATGCAGACAATTCTCCCCCATTTTTTTTTATAAGATATCATTTTAGTTTTGACTTAATCTAATAATATTTCTTAGTGAAGATTATTAAAAGGATGTGTTCAGTGTATTTTATGTTTTATCTGAAAAGTGTTAGTAAGTTTAACACCTTTTTTTCCAGGTATGTTAATCCTATCAACACCTTCATTTTGAGAGATTAAGATTATTGGACAGTGATTAATATACACAGGTCTAAATTAATAAAATACTTATTCATCAACACCTTTTCACAGCAATTTTAATGTATTCAACACCTTGATTCTTGAATAATGAATTAATAAACACATCAATTATCTCTGACAGCATACATGTGTGTATTGAACTCCTTTCTTCCTTATACAAAAGTATGAAATTTAGCATTTAAATTCATTAATCATTTTTTCTTATAAATTTAATTATTTATCAAAAAAAGAAAAAAAAAATAACAAAACAAAAAAACCAACAATAATTATTATCTAATAATCAAGTAAATCATTCATTAATTATTTTCAATGACTAAACGAATTACGGACATTTCGGACCATAGACGTTTCGGACCAGACACTTCGGACCAGATTTTTTGGTCATTTCGGACCAGATTTTTGCCGCGAGATTCGTGGCCCTCGGTATAATTGATAATAAACTTACTCATTTATTTAACATCTAAATACTTCAATAATAACGTATTAGTGTAAAATAAAAATTGGGAGGAACTTTCTGCTTATTTGCAAATATGCAGACGGTTCTCCCCCAAAATAGGGAGAGACCGTCAGGGAGGAAACGTCAGGGCAGGAACTGGAAAGGGAGAGAAAAGTCTGACTACCGCCGAGATGACTCGGGACCCAGAGTTTCGTTTTAATTTCATCCCAGGTAATCATGAATTCATAACATATATTGATCTATATCTTCTATTACATAATACCTATATGAAAATTACCTGTCAAAAATTATTTACACGGATAATTATCCGTTCTTAATAAATTTTGTTATCTTGCAGATCCTGAATCAGAATGTGCACGTAATTTTTTGTATTCGTGAGAATTACTCTCCAATGTGTTTGGACTTCCAAAGGTTAAGTAAAATTCAGTGCAAATGGTCAAATATATGCATATTGATGTAAAGTCAATAAGTTTTTTATGTATTTCGATTTCATTTACAGATAATTGCAAAACATATTGTAGAATTATCCTAGGCTCAGATCAGCTGATGGAAGCAAAGTGTGATTGTAATGGGTCTACTGGTATATAAGGGTCAGTTGTGACCAAAACTAAGGTCTAGACCCAACCACATGTGACAACCCTATGTATGGAAGGGGCAGAACCTTTTTTAAAGTTTTTTTAGAGATTTATAGGGATCTATTAAAAAATATCTGTAACATGATTGAAATTAGAAACGTCTGTATTAACACAAATATATCCCTGTGTGACGATTGTCCTATTCTGCCTAGATTCAATAATGATATGTAGTGGTTTGATACCTAAATTGCGGATAAGTTAAATTGTAAACAAATATGTTATCCTGTGTTTAAATGTAGAGTTTGACCTTTTATAGATAAGTAAGAAATACATAAATAAAGAAGATATTGTAAATGGCATTCGTGAAAACCAATTTGTCTCTAATGCAGAAAATGACGCACATCCAGAACCAAATATCCCAAAAATTGATATTAACTTCTCACGCGCCAATGAACTTATAAAAAATGATAGAATCGTTTTCGCTCCAAGGCTTAGGTACATTTACGATATTAGGACAAGATGACAAGGCTCGGGTTGTAACACTATTCCCCGAGTCATGTTCGTGTGGAAACACGCATTGCTATCATTTAATAGCTGTTAAGAAATAGGTATGGAAGTGAACTTGAAAACAAAACCCAACCTAACAACACTTAGAGGTTTAGACGAAAAGAAAAAAGCAGGAAGAAAACGACCTAGACAAGATGATTTTGATTACATAATTTCCCCTGACAAAAATTCACAGAGAATTGAAAAACCCGTGACAAAACAGCCATCTCGGAAATTACAGTCACCCGTGACGGATGAAGTCGAAAAACCCGTGACGATTCAGTCGTCACGGAAATTAGATTCACCCGTGACAGTACCAACTCGGGACCATGAGGAAAAATTCGTGACGACTCAGCCGTCACGGAAATTAGATTCACCCGTGACAGTACCAACTCGGGACCATGAGGAAAAATCCGTGACGACTCAGCCGTCATGGAAATTAGATTCACCCGTGACAGTACCAACTCGGGACCATGAGGAAAAATCCGTGACGACTCAGACTTGGAAGAACCATCGTATACTATATATATTGAACAGGATATTGAACCAGGAGAGCCAGTACAGTCCAACACATCGGTAAGTGGACCAGAATGGCTAGATATTGGGCAGATTAAACTTAAGGACGAAGAAAAAAGTATCCTGTATTCACCAACAGAGTGGTTAAATGATCGGTTGATTGATGCGGTGATGTCTCTTCTAAAGACACAGTTCCCACATATATGGGGGCTGGACAGTTGCCTAAATGCAGCAACTCTAACGTTTACTCGTGCTTTTGGAAATTTCATTCAGATCGTCAACAGAACGCAAGAACAGGGTGGGTCACATTGGCTGACATTATCCACTATGAAAACAAATAACAAGTCGGAAGTAAAAATTTATGATTCAGGTTTCACATCACTAAGTTTTTCTACCCAGCAAGTTATTTGCAATTTACTTAGAAAAGATACCCCACCAAAAAAGAATGATAAAATATTGTTGAATTTTATGGACTGTGCATTCCAGGAAAACGGCAATGACTGTGGTCTCTATGCAATTGCAAACGCAACTGCGGAAGCCAACGGTATAGATCCCTGCACCCAAAGGTAGAACTGCTTCGTGGTCACCTGATTCAATGTTTGGAAAAGGGTAAACTTGTGCCATTTCCCGCTGGCACCCAGTCGCTCGAGCACCCAAATGGTGTCAGATACACAGCATTTCTTAAGGTGTTTTGTTCTTGCCTAATGCCAGGAGATGGTTTGTATGTTGTTTGCAATAAATGCAAAATATGGTACCATCCAGAATGTGAGGGTCTACAAAAAGATGACATTCCTGGTGATGACATTCCATATTTCTGTACAAAATGTACACACCCCCAAAAGAGAAACATACGACGAAAAAAACGCATGTAATGTACAATGTATAATATATACTTTAAAACTTAAGTTTAAATTTAAAATAAATTTAATACTGTTATTTATCGTCACTTGGTTTACTCATTTCCCTTAATTCATCACATGTCATAATGTTATGTTTTCATTAAATGAAGAAAAAAAAAGAATGATTATTTATCATTAGGATTAGTTGCATCGTCACGGGTTTTAGCTACCCTTCATGACAGACGAATAACGGCGAATATAGTTCGTCACGGTATTTAGTGCCTTGCATTATATATCACGGTAAATTTAGTGTGTCACAGATTTTAGGTACATGTCACAGATTTATGTCGTCACGGTCGTCACGGAATTAGATATTGTCACGGGTTTTAGGTGATCCCTACCTGATTAGATTTAACAACTTATTCGTAGCAATTATTTGATATGACAAGCGTATTTTTATTATTTCTAAAATATCAGAACAATTCGTCCTTAAAATCATTCGAACTCAATACCATTCGTACCAATATTCGACCCATTATCAATATCTCTTGGATGCTTGACATCTTCAACTTCAGTAAACGTTTATTAAGTATAACTACATTGTTGGGTATAAATAGAGCTCAAAGCTGCTGCTAGTCAGTCTCTGTCCAGCTGCCGAAGTGTCAACACCACAGAAATAATTAATTGATATTTTAGTCTAATTACTTGGGTTCTTGCACTATTTACGAAGTATTTCAATTGCATCAATTTAACATCGCGTTAGGTGTAATTGTTATTACTAAAGTATTGAAAACTCGATATCCAAGTGGTTTTTCTATATATATTAAATAGCTTAAAAAAGTGTCACCCCAATTTTATATCAAGTTCAAGGACCACTTATTATCTTTCAAGCACATTACTGTTATAACATTAGTTAATTAAACTTGATTCCAAAGTTTAAATAAATCATTTTATAATCATTTGTAACCAATCAACTGGCAAAGTAGCCATAAGAAAAATTATATATATAACAGCTGGCCCGTGCACGTTGCACCTGTATAGTTGAGTTCACACTAAAGGTTACCCAAAGTGCACTACTAGTGCACTTCATAAGTTCACTTTGTAGTGCACCAGACCTATTATATGTATCTCTTGTCATGAAGGTGTGAAAATGAAGTGTGGTTTAAATGTGACACATATGCCTCGTTAAACCCCCTGCTTCTGACAAACTTTCCTCTTGGTGGCGCAATAGCTCAGTTGGTTAGACCACTGATTTCATTATCACTCCTGAGGTCCCGGGTTCGATCCTGGGTTATAACCTTGGGATTTTTCAGAGACACTTTCAGAGTTTCCCACCTACCTAGAGGTGTACTGGTAAGAAATCCAGGTAATCCTTGCATGCCATGTATCAGTGCTATACACTGGGCATGTAAAAGAACCAAGGGGTCTATTCAATAAGAGCTAGGGACTGGATCCTGGATTCCATTGTATCTCATAGCTGTCTCTTAAAAATGTATACAATGTATACACATAATGTCATGTACCTACTTAATAGTAATTAGAGTGATCATAAATGATTTTAAAGCAGTATGATGTAGAACTAGAACTCACTACTTCATTTTTAGTCAAAATATTTTTGCATGCCAAATCTTGATCCTTGTAGACTAATACTCAATATTACTTGATGAGATATTTGTGCTATTAATTTGTGTATTGTATTAACAACATCTCACCTCTTGAAGCAAGATTCTGACCCAGAACAAAGGCATCTCAGAATCTAGCTTTGGCATGTCAATATATTTTGAATACAGGTAGTGGTGTTGGTTGTTTTATATGACATATTTCTTCTTAATACCAATTTATTTTACCTCAGTCTCACTGTACCAAATTATAGCTTTAAAAACCCACCTGGTACAAGTTGATAAGTACAAATTAAATATTTGTAAAATTAGTGAGTAAGAATAGGACTACTATTATTAGTGCAAAAATTACATTTCTATGTCAAATCAAAACTTTAAAAAAAAATAAGGAGTTGAAAACTATTTTTTTTTAAATTACCTGGAGCCCCAGAAAGTAGAGTGTTTTAAAAAATAAGGTATTTTCAGCATGGGAAATCTATTACCAAAATGAATTGGAAGTACATGTAGTGTTCAAATTTACTGATGCAAGAATTGTTTCATTTAACAAGGATGATTTGATAAAGAATAAATTTGTGTCCCTATAAAATAAATTTTCCTATTTAGTCCATGTACATACAGGTAGGCTGAGGTAGCATTTACATATGCATATAGTTCTTTAGCTTTGAAAAGAACACCTATTTTACCAATATCCTTCTTTTTTTACAGGTAGGACAAGTCAAAGATGAACATTTTGTGTAGAAGGCTTTGTTTACAATGCAACAAGTCTGTGAGGAGACTGGAGGGATTCAAAGGTAATTAAGCATAAAAATCCCATTGCCACTGGCCAGTCTGCACACCTGAGCCAATCTGTGCAGTCTGACCAGGTCCTTTTGTTGAATATTGCTGATATATCAATATCGGGCTTTTTCAATGACAGCCATTAGCCCTACCTAAATATCCCCTTACAAAGAAACTGCAGCAAAGTTTATACAAATCATACCTTTTGGGTTAAAAATTGTCTCAGTACAGGTCACTCCAGGCACATTTACTTGTATAGGAAACTAGCAGACTTTAAAATAATTCTTCAGAAACTTCCATGCCAAGTGCTTTAGAATATGATATGTATCTTTACCTCCCAGTCAGTTCAAAGCATTGAATGGATTTCAGGCTTCGGTCTTTTAAATGTTTGTTGGTATTTCTTAATATTTAAAGGAGTAATTAAACTCAGTAAAAGTCATAAAAGCGACTTTACTGATTGAGGAAGTCCTCTGGTTCCCTTCTGTGCATTATTTCAGGCACAAATCGGCACCTGAGTTGAACCATCGATGTTCTGTAACCTAGCTGGTGAGATTTGAACCAACAGTGGTGAGTGGCAAGTGGTTTGAAGTCAACGATCATAACCACTCAGCCACAGGCACCCCATAATTTTGGCCTTTAAATCAACCAAAATAAAAATCACTGTTCTGTAATGTCCCAGTTTTTTTTTTTAAGTGAGAAGTGAACATATGTTGTATACAGTTCTGTTTTATAATAACTTTTATTTTACAGTACAGTTCATTCAGCAGAAATCAAAAAGCGGCAAATATTTTGAGGATCCTTATGTAGAAAAATTTATGATCAATTATTTACAAGCTATATCAAAGGAAAATGGAAAGAAATTTCTTGAAAGCCTAGACAGTCATCTGTTGGAAAGAAAAAGACAACTAGAAGTTCTATATGCTATTAGAGTGGCTGAGGGTATTGAAAATGTATGTATATTATTTAGATTTACAATCTGATTTGCAGTAAATCATAGAGTTAAAAAGCATAATGAAAACTACATTAAAGAATTCATTTAAACTGTGCATGATCCTAAAATAAATGTATGATAACAGAGAAATTTAGGTGAAAAAAATATAAGAAAATGGGGGTGGGGGATATCATCCTTGTTTTGGAGTTATCCGCTCTTAATCAATTTGAACACTGCTTATTTCAAGGGCAAATAATCAAGATTAGCACGGCCTTATTTTGTTCTAATTTTCATGTAGCTTTCATCCTCTCAAGTGATTGAGTAAAATTTCATGATTGGTTATTAATAGTTTGTTTATTTTTCTTCTTTATTTAAAGCTATGCAAATTTAAAAAAATGACCTATTTTAAAACAATTTACATTCTCAAACATAGATTTTTATTGGAATTCCATGAAATTTTGTACTGTAACCAAGGATAAATGAAAAACTTGAATAACTGGTAAAATTAATGTTTGTCTGACATTTATGTGCAAGTTATCTGCCCTTGAAATTATCTGAAATAAAAAAATTAAGGTTACTGGGAGGGAAAACAATGTTGATGACCCGCAATATTTTTGAGTTTTTGTTTGTTTCAAATGTTTTATCACCATATATTTAGATCATGAAAAGTAAAAATAAATGCTGTTATAGTTTTTATTTCTGCCTTTATGTTCATATGTTACTGAAGCATTCGCCCTTTTAAAATGTTGCACAACTAACACATTTTCTTTCTCAATTTTAAGGAGAGCAATTCTTTTGTTTTTCTACTGGTATCCTAATTGAACAATCAATAGCTCAGATGTTCATGTTAACTTAGAGGGTCTGACCCTTTGTTGATGACATTGTTAGCAAAGAGGGGCAACTCAGATGAGCATCTGAAAAAAATCATGGTATTAATTACCTCCCTTGACATAGTGAATGTATTGAATATGACTGTGTTTTGAAGTTCGGTGAATTCCAGTACTTTATTTTGGCATCACTTGGATAAATAAAAGCAACTATTTTCACTTGGATAAATAAAAGCAACTATTTTTATATAAATTGTATGAATTTACAAGAAGATGGTGTCATAAAGGGGACACCACTGAGTTTTTTTTTATGCTGAGGGGACTGAAAATATTTTTTTTAATGTTCAACAGTGATATAAACTTGAACAGTTGATATACATTTTGCTATGCATCATAAGACCTTGACCTTATATTCAATATTGGCCATTAAAGTCAAGGGTGAAGGATAGACCTTTCAAGTTTTCATAATTTAACATTTGTTTAAACAATGACTTTTTTATATTTTAACAATATTTTTGTATATTTGTCCCGAAGCCTCACAGTGTAGACCAAGTGGAAATTTTCAAGAATTTCTATATAAATATCATACAGACAAGTTAAGAAATGCTATAGATAAAAAAGGGGGCATTTGTTCAGTTTTTGTGTGCGAGTTTGTATCTCCACAACGCCAGGGGAATTGGTTGGGGTAATTCACACACATATTTAAGAGCATAATACATGTGTGAGGTTATTGTTCAATCACTACAATTTAACATTAATTTGGAACATAATAATAAGGCTTTTTTTAACTTATTTTATTTCAATATTACCCAGGCTCTTGTTTGTGTTGCTTTGAAAAGGCGACATTAAAGGGGGTTACTTTTGTCAACCGCATCTGTGCTGGCGATGCCAACGGCATCCCCTAAGCTTGACCAGACCATAAGTCAATCACTATAAGTGGGATTGACTCCAAACTTTCTTTTATGTGCATGCTTCTTTCAATGACTAGAAGTGCAGTGCACAAGGACTGTTTACTCTGCGCTTCTTAATTTTTGAGTTATTGCCCTTTGTTAATTTTCATACTTTAATTTTGTCCGGCCATTTCTCCTAAACTTTTGTAAGATAAGGACTTGAAACTTCATAGAGATGATAGATGTCATTTATAAAAAGTGCAGTGCACAAGAACCAACACTCTGCACTTCTTATTTTTTGAGTTATTGCCCTTTGTTAATGTTCATTCTTTATTCTTGTATGTGCCATTTTCTCCTAAACTATAAAAGCTTTGGACTTGAAACTTAATGGGTTGATACATCTCATTGAGAAGAAGTGCAGTGCATTAAAAACCAGCATTCTGTACTTCATGATTTTAGAGTTATTGCCCTTTGTTGAGGTATAATACTTTATTTTTGTCCCAGCCATTTCACCAGAACTACAAAAGCTATGGACTTGAAACTCCATAGGATGATAGATCTTATTGAAAAGAAGAGCAGTACACAAGAACGGTACTCTGTTCTTCATGATTTATGAGTTATTGCCCTTTGTAAATTATTATACTTTATTTTTGTCTGGGCCATTCTTCTTCACAACAAAAGTGGTTCAAGCTACATCAATCCTGATGTAACATTGTTACAATCAGTTCAAATGTCACTAAAGTTCAAGGTACATGTACAATATAAGGGTTGTGTTTATAGATAACCTACATTTAAGAAGTATATGCCTAAGTTACAGCTATACTGTTCACAAGGCGACACATCCGACTCGCAGAGTTCTTGTTTTACTATCAAGCACTGAGAATAGTCGAGCATGCTGTCCTACTGACAGCTCTTGTTTACTGTTTTTATTATGTCATCAAAAAGGTGAGGTACTTTACTTCTTAACTCTGTTATTAATTTGCTATTTTACTTTCCAGACTCCTTCAGAGCTAAGTGCACATGATTGGAGAGTGATTCTAACATCTGTAAAGACTAAGGAGGAATTTGATCGTTATTTGAATAAGGTATTTATACGTCAGGAGAAAAGGCGATTGACTGTGGAAGCTAGAAATGAAGTATACAACAAATTACGTCGCCCATGTGATGAAGAAGATCTACAGATCATTCAGCGTATTTATTTTATGAAAAATCATTTATCCCATTGGAAGGGAATGCACTCTTTACTTCACGGGAGACCTGTTGTTCTAGATATGGACTATCAACCTGTCGATGAAGACGAAACCTTTGAAACGGCACGGCAAATTGAAAACATGTATAATTGTAACCTGGAGCATCGTCAGCCTTGCCATTTACATTTCACTAGTTTTCACAGAAATGAGATATTGGTTAGAATGCTAGAAATGAAAAGAAACATGTTTGTTGACTTTCACCGAGAAAGTTTTCACGAAGTTTTTCCGCGGGATCGTCTTTTCTATTTAGTTGCTGAAGGACCAGATATTTTACCTAAAGAGATAGACGATGATACAATTTTTGTACTTGGGGGCATAGGGGGTTCCCCTGTGCGGAAAAGGTCACTAAAGAGAGCAGTCTCGCTAGGTATCCCTTACGGATGTCTTCCGGCAGATCAATTTGTAAGGTATGTGTCTTAAAACACTCCTCAGCTTATATTCATATAATCTCTACTTTGTCTGTCCGTCCATCAGTCGTAAAATATAAGACTGTTTCTCAGCAGTCAGTGGCTTATTACCAAGAGATGGGTCCACTACTACTGGTAGGGGACCATCAACCAGACACTTTCTGAACATTTTTCCATACAGATTTCATAAATTTTAAGTTAGAGATCTGAAAATTTGTTCAGTACAGCAGCTAGGGTCTTCTCCTAACTAAAAAACTAGTTTGTTTATTTCTGACTATGTAATGACACTTATACTTAAGGCTTATCAAGGAGGGTATCAGAAATGCTTATATTGTCCACACATGACATTGATTTAATTCTATAAAAGCTTGTGTGTTTTAATGTTTATTGTGTCTCCTTGAAAAGGCAACATATAGGGGTTACTTTTGTCGGCTGTGTTGTTGTCCGTATCGGCGTCCCCTTAAGCTTGTCCGGAACATAAATCAGTCATTATAAGTGCACAAGAACCGGTACTCTGCACTTCTTAATTTTTGAGTTATTGCCTTTTGTTAATTTTCATACTTTATTTTTGTCCGGGCAATTTCTCCTAAAGTATAAAAGCTATGGACATGAAACTTCATAGGATGATAGATCTCATTAAGGAGAAATACATTGCACAAGAACCAATGCTCTGCACTTCTTATTTTTTGAGTTATTGCCCTTTGTTAATTTTTATACTTTATTTTTATCCAGGCCATTTCTCCTAAAGTATAAAAGCTATGGACATGAAACTTCATAGGATCATAGATTTCATTAAGAATAAGTGCAGTGTACAAGAACCGGTACTCTGCACTTCTTATTTTTTGAGATGATACCCTTTATTAATTTTCATACTTTATTTTTTGTCCAGGCCATTTCTCATAAATTATAAAAGCTACAGTGTATTGACTTGAAACTTTATAGGATGATAGATCTTATTAATAAGAAGTGCTGTGCACAGAAACTGCTGCTCTACACTTCTTCAGACTTCCCGAAAAAGTTTTAAAAAAGTGTTAAACATTCGGTCTGACAAACCATGGAAATCTGTCGGACCAAAATGAAATCTGTCAGACCGAATAAAATTAATCAAAATCAAAGGAAAACTTTTGTTTGTATTTCTAAGAAACTTTTCGGTTTTAATTTTTTCGCCGTAAAAATCGGCACATTTTGTACAGCACATTTTCATCTCCCTGTCATACACCAACGATTCAGGGTCCTGCTTCCATTTTTCATTAAATTTTGTCTCAGGTTTATGTTGATTCTTTTTATCCTTTTACTGTTGTTCTGCGCGCTCCATTGACATAGATTTTTGTTTATTCCCACGTTTGGCACCTTTAGCGACGCCGTTTTGTTTACATGCCACTTGGATAAAAGCCGGACAGTCTGACCGATCCGGAATAAAAAATTGTCGGACCTAATCAAAATTTATTGGACATGTCCGTCGGACCGACATATTTCGGGAAGTCTGCTTTTTTTTTTGAGTTATTGCCCTTTGTTAATTTTGATATTTCATTTTTACATATTTCCTTTTTGTCCTGGCCATTTCTCCTAAACTATATTGTTCACAAGGCGGCACATCAGACTCGCGGAGGTCTAGTTGTTAAAACAATATACAATATTTCAGCAGCAAATGCTGAAGTTAAGGGTATTCTATTCTTTACTTGGCAAATAATTATAGCTGATATAAGAGGTGAGATATTGCACTTATGAGGCCCAAATTTTCAACAACAACATTCTTAAAATAGACATTAAGATATTACTGTTTACGCAGGTTGAAATAAATCTAATTAGAAGAAACATGCGTTTACTATTGATAAAAATAGCAACTGATAGATCAACAACCACGACAACCACTGAACAAAGAAAAAAACTAAATCAGGCATTTTCAGGGCTGTCTGGGTTTGGTGGTTGTCCGGTTTTGATGGTCTCCAACCAGAATAGGGTTTTTTCCTGTCCCTTCGCGCATATATAGCATCCAATTTTCCTCAGTAATTTGGATGGTCTTCTAACTTTGAGTAAAGTTTAAGGTCACTGGTGCTAAATATAGATTTTTTTTTCACTTTTGGTCATACAGTTTTTATTGTGTCGCCTTGAAAAGGCGACATATAGGGGTTACATTTGTGGCGTTATCAGCGGTGGCGGCCCCTAAGGCTTGTCCGGAGCATAACTCAGTCACTTTCTATGAGTCGGGTTGACTCCAAATTTAGTATTCATGCTTCTGTCAATGACCCGAAGTGCAGTGCACAAGATTCGATACTCTGCGCTTCTTAAGTTTTTTAGTTATTGCCCTTCGTTAATTTTCATACTTTATTTTTGTCTGGGTCATTTCCCTTAAACAATAAAAGTTATGGACTTGAAACTTCAAAGGATGATAGATCTTATTGAGAAGAAGTGCAGTGCACAAAATAGTGGTTTTTATAAATAACCTATATTTAAGAAGAAAACGCTAAGTGACAGCTATACTGTCCCAAGGGGACACATCCGACTCGCAGAGCTCTAGTCTTATCTTAAAAATATGATGCATTGGCAATGTGTAACCCTCAAAATGGTTGCCAGGGGAAGTTATAATTGCTTTGTACAAAAGCATTTTATTTTTTAAACGTTATCTCTGTGACTTATCATAATGGCTTAGTACATGTTCTGAACTCACTATATGTCAAAATATTGTGGCATATATAACATTATAATATAATTCTATTTTCCTTCTTATTTTAGGCGAAAAATGAGAAGTTCTAGGGTCTTTTACTTACAGACTGTGCTAAATATCATGCTAGACAAATTCGCTGGCGATCCATGGAAGTTAGCTTTTGAAAGACATCTGCCGGATGACAAGTATCAAAAATTTCCGGATTTAGAAAAACCTTTAGAAGATAAAAAAGCCATACAATCTTATGTACAGTTTCAACAATTATACAAAATTCTTGACAAATGATCTCTATGCTGATACTGGTATTATTACAGAGTAGTAAGAAGGTTAATTGCTGGGAATTATACGATTGATAAACAAGCGGTTTTTCATGATTTCTCAAGAACAGCACAAGTCAAAGTGAATATATACAGTGTACGTTTATAAATTCGCAGGAAAGAAGGTGACATGTGCCTGTAACCGCAAAACATCATACAGCAATTTTATTTATCCACTGTGTATTGTCCATACATATGTATGTTCATCATTAACCTCTATGTTTGGGATGTCAGATCTGCTGTGTTTACAAGTTTAATCTATGTTTACAAGGTACATTCGTATATCGCAAAAAGATCACACTGCGTCAAACATTAGCAAACATACAAAGGGTTACACTGTATTCTCTAATTAAGCTGGAAAGTTGGTCATATGGTTTACTGTTTACTCCTTGCGAAAAAATTAATTAATTTGAAATTAAAAGCTTTAATGTTGGTATTAGATAATTAACAGCGTTAATGCTGTTGTTATAATGTGATTTATGATACTGACTTCTGACTTATTCTTTTTAGCTCACCTGTCACAAAGTGACAGGGTGAGCTTTTGTGATCGCTTTTCGTCCGGCGTCCGTCCGGCGTCCGTAAACTTTTACTTTAAATGACATCTCCTCATAAACCAATAAGCCAATTTCATCCAAACTTCACATGAATGTTCCTTTGGTGGTCACCTTTGAAAATTTTTCAAAGAATTTAATTCCATGCAGAACTCTGGTTGCCATGGCAACCAAAAGAAAAAACTTTAAATATCTTCTTCTAAAAAATCCAAAGAGCTAGAGCTTAGATATTTGGCATGAAATATCTTCTAGTGAGTGTCTACCAAGTTTGTTCAAATAAAAGCCCTGGGGTCAAAATTGATTTTCCCTATATGCATATAGTAAAAACTTAAAAATTCTACTTTGAAAGAACCCAAAGAGCTACAGCTAAGATATTTAGCATGAAACATCCTCTAATGGGTGTCTACCAAGTTTGTTCAAATAAAAGCCCTGGGGTCAAAATTGGCCCCGTCCCAGGGGGTCATTGATTTTCCCTATATGCATATAGTAAAAACTTAAAAATTCTACTTTGAAAGAACCCAAAGAGCTACAGCTAAGATATTTAGCATGAAACATGTTCTAATGGATGTCTACCAAGTTTGTTCAAATAAAAGCCCTGGGGTCAAAATTGGCCCCGTCCCAGGGGGTCATTGATTTTCCCTATATGCATATAGTAAAAACTTAAAAATTCTAGTTTGAAAGAACCCAAAGAGCTACAGCTAAGATATTTAGCATGAAACATGTTCTAATGGATGTCTACCAAATTTGTTCAAATAAGAGCCCTGGGGTCAAAATTGGCCCCGCCCCGGGGGTTATTGATTTTCCTTATATGTGTATAGCAAAAACTTAAAAATCTTCTTGTAAAGAACCCAAAGACCTAGAGCTAAGATATTTAGCATGAAACATGTTCTAATGGATGTCTACCAAGTTTGTTCAAATAAGAGCCCTGGGGTCAAAATTGGCCCCGCCCCAGGGGGTCATTGATTTTCCCTATATGCATATTGCAAAAACTTAAAAAATCCTCTTGTAAAGAACCCAAAGACCTAGAGCTAAGATATTTAGCATGAAACATCCTCTAATGGATGTCTACAAAGTTTGTTCAAATAAGAGCCCTGGGGTCAAAATTGGCCCTGCCCCGGGGGTCATTGATTTTTCCTTATATGTGTATAGCAAAAACTTAAAAAATCTTCCTTGAAAAAAACAAATAGCTAGAGTTTAGATACTAAGCTTGAAACATTTTCTAGTGGGTGTCTACCAAGTTTGTTGTAATAAAAGCCCTGGGGTCAAAATTGGCCCGCTTCGGGGGTCATTCATTTTCCTTTATGACAAAAACTTAAAAAGACTTCTTTGAAAAAACTCAAATAGCTAGACTTTAGATATTAAGCACGAAGCATCTTCTAGTGAGTGTCTACAAAGTTTGTTCAAATAAAAGCCCTGGGGTCAAAATTGGCCCCGCCCCGGTGACATTGATTTTCCTTATATGTGTATAGCAAAAACTTAAAAATCCTCTTTGAAAAAACCGGAATAGCTAGAGTTTAGTTATTAAGCATGAAACATTTTCTAGTAAGTGTCTACAAAGATTGTTCAAATAAAAGCCCTTGGGTCAAAACTGGCCCTGCCCCAGGTGTGTCATTGTTTTTAACTATATGTGTTAAGAAAAAACTTGACCAGCTAGACCTTAGATGTTTAGCATGAAACATCTTCTAATGGGTGTCTACCAAGTTTGTTCAAATAAAAGCCCTGGGGTTTAAACTGGCCCCGCTCCGGGGGCCTATATACAGGTGAGCGACTTCAGGGCCATCATGGCCCTCTTGTTTATTTGTGTAAGGTCTTATTTAAATTTATTGATCTATTTCAAGCTATAAAATCTGTGAAATATTTTATTTCATAAAGTTAATAAATTTGTTTTAATGTTAAAAAAAAATATCAACAAGTTTATCACTGTTCTAGATCAAGCAGTGTCATGCAGAGTCTTTGAATTCTTAAATGTGAGTGAATGTCGGTGGTTCTCCTCGGGTCCGTTTGTACCTGAAATAACGCACCAGTCAAACAGGAAAGTCGCCATATGACATATACTGTGTTTGTGTGACGTAAAACACAATAAAATAATAACTAGAAATAACTGACTAAACACCAGTGTTAATCAATGTTCAAGGTGTACAGTTGAAACTTATCATAATTTAAGGTCAAGACCCATAATTTTGGAATGGACTTTGCCCTAAAAGATGGCCTACAACTCTAGCATGAATTCAAAAATTACAACACTGTTCTGTACTTTTGAATGAGGTCTAAATTTTAAAATTTTGTTATGTCACAAGTTAAATGCCAGACAATCAATAGTTAATGACAGAATATGTTTAAATACTTTCAAGTTTTAATTTATTGGCAATGAGCAATACATTTGCCTTTAGGCATTAACAGACACAAAAACAACTTATGACAAAGACTGTCATACACATAAATAACATTGAAAAATAATGAAGTACAATATATGATCAGAAGACAAGTAAGAAGGGTATTGTGATGTTAACATTATATGCTTCTAAGAAGGGTATTTTGATGTTAACATTATATGCTTCTAAGAAGGGTATTTTGATGTTAACATTATATGCTTCTAAGAAGGGTATTTTGATGTTAACATTATATGCTTCTAAGAAGGGTATTTTGATGTTAACATTATATGCTTCTAAGAAGGGTATTTTGATGTTAACATTATATGCTTCTAAGAAGGGTATTTTGATGTTGACATTATATGCTTCTAAGAAGGGTATTTTGATGTTGACATTATATGCTTCTAAGAAGGGTATTTTGATGTTGACATTATATGCTTCTAAGAAGGGTATTTTGATGTTGACATTATATGCTTCTAAGAAGGGTATTTTGATGTTGACATTATATGCTTCTAAGAAGGGTATTTTGATGTTAACATTATATGCTTCTAAGAAGGGTATTTTGATGTTAACATTATATGCTTCTAAGAATGGTATTTTGATGTTAACATTATATGCTTCTAAGAAGGGTATTTTGATGTTAACATTATATGCTTCTAAGAAGGGTATTTTGATGTTAACATTATATGCTTCTAAGAATGGTATTTTGATGTTAACATTATATGCTTCTAAGAAGGGTATTTTGATGTTAACATTGTATGCTTCTAAGAATGGTATTTTTGATGTTAACATTATATGCTTCTAAGAAGGGTATTTTGATGTTAACATTGTATGCTTCTTTTATACACTTTGCTAAATTTACCATATTTTTTTTTTTTCTTCTTTTTTTTGATTTAGATGAAATAAATAAACAATTATTTAAACCAGATATTTCTTTTATTTTTCTCAAGTCCAAACATCATGTTCATTTTTTTTTTTTTTTTTTTTTTTTTAGCTCACCTGTCACAAAGTGAAAGGTGAGCTTTTGCGATCGCTTTTCATCCGGTGTCCGTCCGTAAACTTTTACTTTAAAGGACATCTCCTTATAAACCGCTAGGCCAATTTCATCCAAACTTCATAGGAATGTTCCTTTGGTAGTCAACTTTAAAAATTGTTCAAAGAATTTAATACTAAGCAGAACTCTGGTTGCCATGGCAACCTAAAGATAAAACTTAAAATATCTTTTAGAAAACCGAAAGAGCTAGAGCTTAAATATTTGGCATGAAACATCATCTAGTCAGTATCTACCAAGTTTGTTCAAATAAATGCCCTTGGGTCAAAATTGGCCCCGCACCCGTTGGGGGAGGGTCATTGATTTTACTTATTTGTATAGAATTAAAACTTAAAAAATCTTCTTTTAAAAAAACCAAATATCCAGAGCTTAGATATTAACCATGAAACATCTTCTAGTGGGTGTCTTCCAAGTTTGTTTAAATAAAAGCCCTGGGGTCAAAATTGGCCCTGCCCCAGGGGGTCATTGTTTTCCCCTTTATGTATAGTAAAAACTTTAAAATCTTCTTTTAAAAACCCCAAAGAGCTAGAGCTAAGACATTTAGCATGAAACATCTTATAATGGGTGTCTACCAAGTATGTTCAAATAAGGGTCATTGGGTTAAAATTGGCCCAGCCCCATGGGTCATTGATTTACCTTATATGTGTAAAGTAAAAACTTAAAGAATCTTCCTATAAAAAACCAAAACGCTAGAGTTTAGATACAAAGTCTAACGAGTGTCTACCAAATTTGTTCAAATAAAAGCCCTGGGGCCAAAATTGGCCCCTCCCAGAGGGGGGGGGGGGAGGGAGTCATTGTTTTTTCCCTATATGCATATAAGTAAAAACTTAAAGAATTCTCTGATAAAAACCCCAAAGAGCTAGAGCTTAGATATTTAGCATGAAACATCTTCTAATGGGTGTTTACCAAGTTTGTTCAAATAAAAGTCCTGGGGTTTAAACTGGCCTAGCTCCTGGGGCCTATATACAGGTGAGCGACTCGGGGCCATCATGGCCCTCTTGTTTTTTGTGTTTTTTTCGCTAATGCTTAGATGCATAAGGGATGCGTTCATTTTGTATTTCTTTAATGTTTTATATTTATAAATGCCTATCCATTCCCGTGATCGTAGTGTTTACGTTGGTATGGAAACATTTCTAACAATAATCATGCCCGTCTTTGTGGAGTAGAACTCGGCCTCTGTTACCTTATGGCGAATAAGAATCCTTCGTCAGGGACCGTTGTTTCTCAGTCAAAAGCAGGGTGGTCAAAGGTGTAACTGTTGGAACTGGTAAGGCAGAGGGCAGTATGCAAAAACATTTGTGCAGCAGCATTTGTAAGTAGCTCTGAAAGTCTGGTGGTTACCTTATTGATTAATGAGCTTTTTAAAGAGACACTGCCCCTAAAATATGATTATCCCCCTTGATGAACTGCGTCTGCAAGCAATGGAAATTAGTGAGAGATCATTCCTAGTGTACACTTAACAATATACCACAATTGGCTGTTGTCCAGTTTATTAGCAGACCACCCCGATATATAAATATTAAAATATTTCTTTCCAAACCATTCCAAAAGCAGCTAATATTGAAATTAAACTGCGATGAATCATCAGTATTGTGACATGTCACAAAAGTTAGAGACCCATTTATGCCTCCGTAATTCTATAATCTTTTTTCTTAAAAAAATATAATTTTGGTAGCTTTTATAGCTCCCAAAGAATTAGTTTTTTGGCCAATTACCTGAACCAACGTTTGGTTCTGTTGCGTTTCAGCATTTTGTACGGTAATAATGATTTAATAAATTTAGTATTTGTATGGAGGTCAAAATACTACTTTGGTAGCATTTTGCTATTTTGATGAAAATAAGTCCACATTCAGTGCTACTTTCTTTAAGTGATAAGCATTTAACATGATCTTAAACCATTATTTACACGTTATAAAACTGGTGTTCCCTCTATCTAAATAATGACAAACTTATTCTTTTAAGGCACAATGTGCCTTTAACCATTATTAACCCTGTAAACTAATTAATTAAGAAACGAGTGTTCATGTACTTTGTCCAAGCTTCTAATAAACGTCGGTCTTAAACATAGTTTCCTGTAACCTCCGTAAATAGACACTGGGTTCGGGGCTCTAACTATATTGTTTGGGTGTAGTCACCAGAGACCGCTTAGAGTAAATTCATGACGTCACTATCCACAGCGCTTGAACTACTGTTACTATAGTTAGCGCCCGAACCCTGCCATAGGCAAATCTGTTACATGTATTTGTATTTAATTTCAACTTGAAAGTGCATTGAATATGTATATTTTTACGATTCTGACAACAACGTTTTATGTAAACTGTTGTTCAAAATCCTGATTGAGACATGTTGCAGACATTCTGCGTCATGTAGAAGTTGTCTTAGGCTCCTGAAAGAGAGGAAAAAAGCAAACTTGTAATTACTATTAGTAATAAAGCACGTTTTTCACGTGTGATAAAATCACTAATGCTCTCATCCCTATTAAACTGTCAGAATGATAAAGGTGGTTCGTATTGTATAGCGTTTTAATTAATTGACTCCAATTACTATCTTAGTTTACTTTTCCTACGATAAAACCTATCTGGCGGAAATTTGAGGCTCAATAAACGGCAAATGTTGCGACATTTTATGCATGGAATCACAGATAAAAGTGTAATAAAAGCCAGTTGTCCTGGAAGATTGCATTATAAAACGCTCTTCATCATCAGAGGTACGATTTCATGAAAATT